AAATTCGAAACGAAAAGAATGAAGTACCTTGGTCTAATTATTACTCCTAATAATATCGAAATAGACTTTAATAAGATTAAGACTATTCTTGAATAGAAATTGTTAACTAAGCTAAAAGATCTTCAATATTTTCTAGAATTTGTTAATTTCTATTAATACTTTATTTACAACTTTTCTAAAATTATAGAATCTTTAAATTACTTATTAAAAAAAGAGAATATATAGAATTGAACTACTAATCAAAAAAATGCCTTTGAAAACTTGAAAAATGTCTTCACCTCTGTTTTAGTTCTTATAATATTTGATTACTATTGTTGTATAGTTGTTGAGATAGATATTTCTGATTAGACTACAAATAGAGTACTCTTTCAATATAACGATAAAGGCCGATTATATCTGGTTATATACTTCTTCTCAAAATACAGTATTGCTAAATGTAATTACGAAATCTATAATAAGGAACTACTAGTTATTATTAAATCTTTAAAGAATGGAGATCTGAACTATATAGAACTCAAAAGTTATTTGAGATTATTATTGATTATAAGAATCTAGAGTACTTCATATTAATAAGATATTAATTAAAGATAAGCTAGATAGACTGAATTTCTAGCTGATTTCAATTTTCGTATTATATACAGATTAGGTTTTAAAGTAGTTTATTCTGATACACTAAATAGAAAAGCAGAAGATTGCCTTATATATATCGACCCTAATAATAACCGAATCAAGAATCGCTTACAAACAGTCCTTCCGAAAAGAGTATTCAATACTATTATATTCAAGGATTTTATCCGATAAACAAATAACAATATCGATCTCACCACAGTGCCTATAGGTATAATCATTTCTGATACTGAAAAGCCAATCAATGATTTTATTAATAAAATATACAAATCATTCGAATTGATTATTATTATATATAAAACACTTCAGAATCCAATTACTTGCTATTAGCTATTATCAATCCAAAAAGATCTCCAAATCGCTTTTCAAAATTATAGATTAATCAATAATAAAATTTTCTATTACAATCATCTTTTTATTCCCTTTTTCGCTAAACTTCACATCCAGATTATATATTGAATGCATTCCACTGATCCGGCAGGACATTCCGATTAAATTAAAACTATTAATCTCGTTTTCTGTATATATTGATGGTCTAATATGTTGAGGAAAATCGAAATTTACATACAAGCCTGTTAACTCTGTTTCCAAATCAAAGCCTTCTATCTTGCTACATTCGGATTTCTAAAACCCCTGCTAGTATTATTCCGCTTTTGATCCGATATCTCCATTGATTATATTATATTACTATCAATTAGTAAATACTATAGCAAAAAGCATTAATATATTATTATAATTATTTATCACCTAACAAAAATATGTTATTTCATTCCAGTTATAGAATTATTCGTAAAGGAGCTCGCTGATTGGTTTATCGAAAAAATCTACTGCCTATATGATGCACCTGACAATATAGTATTCGATAAAGGTTTATAATTTATATCAGAATTCTGGAAACACTTATCCAAGCATCTATTGATCACTTTGAAACGATTCTCCTTGTTCTACCCTGAGTCCAATGGATAAACAAAAAGGATTAATGTTATAATAGAATAATATCTTCAGGCTTTTATAAACTTTTATTAAAATGATTGATATAATTGACTTCCACTCGCAGAGTTTGTATTTAATAATATCACCTTAAAGACTATTGGTGTATTTCTATTTTTTGCTAATTACGATTTTCATCCACACCTTGGCGTTGAGCTCTCTTCACCTATTTCTTCAAATCTATTATATCAATACAAATACAAGTTCCTAAAGGTTAACGAGATTACAGATCGATTTAATATTATCCTAACAAAATTGAAAGCTTTAGTTGCTTAATTCATTTAGAGATATAAAGATTATATTAATAAGACTTGTATTGATATTTTTCTATATAAAGAAGATAATAAAATATAGGTTAATATTAAGAATATAAAAACCAATTATTTAATGAAAAAAGATAATAATAAATAGAATAGTTTTTATAAAATTCTAAAAGTTTATAAATAAGCCTGTCTACTTTAGCTCTCTATTAGTTTTAAGATCTTTCCAATATTCCATAATTTATTACTCTAACCACTTCATTGCTTACCTGGATTAGCTGATTAAGAAGTAATTAACAAAGCCGAATCCTATTAAAACCAAAGCTGTATCCTAAAAAGAGATAATAAAACAAATGAGAAAACCAAGCAATAAGAATTCGATAAACTACTTGATTATTATAATAAAAACGAATTTCATTACTAAATCAAATAAAAATATTATTCAATATCTTAGCAATCTGCTAAAGATCTTTATGATCAAAAAGATATAATTATTGCTTTCCATTTAGCAAATCCAGATAAACTAGAACCACCTATTTGAATAAACTTCAAAAGATTTATTACTCCTAATTCTCCGCTAGTACTTATACCAAGCATATTCCCGAATCGAGACTGAAACAGACCTAAAAAGCTCCGGCAATTGATTACTATTCCCAAGAAAGTTCATTTTAATCTAATAATAGAAATTAGAGTATTTTAATATTATTTTGTTTTCTAAAAGGTTAATTAATATTATGATTATGGATTGATTGCCTTAAGCAAGAGGTATTATTATAATGCTAACTATATGATCTATAATTGCCTTTATGTTTCAGATATAGCATACTAGTGTGCTCTATTTTCTATAAGTAGGGCTTCACTTTTCCATAGTTCTTCTACCCTTATGGTACAATATAAGTCTTTACCCGTACCTTGACAGCTCCGTAAGTCCATTCAACTCCGCCATGTCGTTATTATGTAGATCTTAAATGTTATGAGAACCTGCAGAGGCAGGTTCCCGCGCAACAAACAAACAGTAAGGATTTCACACGAAGCTCTTCAGTTTCTAGAAAATGGTGATTTCTTAACCAAGATTAAAAGCAAAGAAGGCAACGAGTCTTTCATCGGGGAGCAGCAATGTATCAGGAGTGGATATATCTTGAGATGACCAGTAACCTTTATATGAGCAGTCTCTCGCTATCACCTAAATGTTATGGTGGTTTCAACCAAAGACCCAAGTTCTGTATGCAACATTTAACCAATATACCAGACAAGTATTTGGTGTTTATGGTACACAAGCTGTAACACAAGTTACATAACACTTAGGTGGGCCATGTGTATTCATCCACCTAACTTGAAAGACTACAGTAAAGCTTTGGATTTCCTTTACCAACAATATCTCCACCCTCCAGCTAGTAGGTATACAGACCTGTCGGTGTGACGAGCTCTCGGGAGTCAATTAGCCCATCAGAGGTGGTGTAAGGACGCCACAGTCAACACCTAGGTATGGATCCATATCAACGCGTGCATTCATCACATCATGAGTGAATAATGCTTTATCGGTAATTACGTAGTATTTCTCAGTATCTGCGGTGTCTGGTATGATTTTGTGCAGTTGAAACCCCGAATGGGTTACCTTCAGCAGCTCAAGTAAGCCACAGATTCTGTTGACTACCTAGATACCGATACTACGATCTGGCAAATGCAACTATAACCCACTTGTGTCGTCAAAACAAAAACACGATGATAGCTTTTGGAATGGGTGGGAAGGTAGTAGAAGCTCTGGAAGAAGGGAAAAGTTGGTGTATTCTTGAAACTAAGGTTGTTACCTTGAGGAGCTTTGAGTGACATTGATAACATCTGTTATAAGCTTTTCAATAGCCTTCAGTATTCAGTAAATATAATTAGTATTCAATATTCCGGCAATTCTAATAATATCTATTCAACCAGTTCCAATCAGTATTAAGTGAGTGTATGCAGTGGCTTATGATAATTTGGATTCGTATAGCTAAACTCATAGTATTATATTAATAGTATATTGATCCAGAATCCTGATGTAATTATCTCTCTTTCTATTCTCTGGTACTTATTAGTACTGTAAAATAGTATATGATATATTTTGTTATCTCGGGAATTTTCAGCTAGAATTCAAGGTTCACAAACGCGTATGCATAAAATCGCTGTGCTTACAAAGGGCAGCTCGATTCCGATTGCTCGTCTATGCTAAGAAATACTGAAGCCATATTTTTATGTTCTCGGAATTCTGTACTTTTACAAGAATCCATGTTGAGAACTCCCACTTCGTCGTGGCTGATATATGCAATATGCTGTTTCGCGATTTTGTCCAATTAAGCGTGTGTTTTTTTTCGATTGTTTGCATGTCGGCAACAAGATTCAGAATGTCTCACAAACGCCACATGTATTTCCAGCTAGTACGAGCCATTTTTTCTTGTCAATGGTGTAAACGCGGTTGGAGCTCGTTTCGTTTAAAGTCTCCGGTTTGATCCGTCGACTAATATTCGGAGATTGGTGAGAACTGATATGATTCTGCTGATGGACGATTAGCAATGCCGTGTAACCTATCATAACATGACCATTGGATGATTCAGATCCTTCAGTTTGCAACCTAAGAAATCATCCGTGTATGCACGGCATTAGTGCTGCAAATATCCGGTTGGTTCTTTCTGTCATGACAGCCAATCTTGGGACAGGATGCATGATGTCAGTACGAGAATGTAAGCTCATACATAAGATCAATGTCAAGGAATTCTTGTACATGGTGGTACACGTAATTCCAGCACTGAAACAGATATTCCTGCATAATATTAATAGTTGAGCTGGTGATTGTGTATGGTATCGCTGCTGAAGAAATCTCTTGGGCGGTTATATTTCTGTTGGCCAGCAACACATCCTAAATTAAAAATTACAGTAGAATGAGCTTGGGTTCACGAGATACCGTTGCCAATTCTGTAGCTGGGACCCCATATGAGAAGCTGCTTTTGAATTTTGTAAGGGGGTTTAAACCAATATATATATATGCCCTCAAGCCTTCATTGAGGATGATATTTGTAAAGCTTTTCTCTCGTTAGCCGATTTCCAAAACACAAATTTGTTCTCCTAACATTCCGGTTGTAATCAGAAATCATGATTGCAGCCAGTGACATCACACCCGATCTTCATCACGGTTTGAAAGCAAATCCAGTCATTGAATCGAAATGGAAAACCACCAAACCGGTTCATGCTACAAAGGCATCCTTGCTAGATCTCTTGGAAGGTCGAACTCCTATCCTCAACGAGCCTGAGTTCCTTTCCAAAGCGGACTGTTCTAAGCTCACCAAGACATTGGAGCCAAGACTTACACCGTATCTCCATGCTACTGGCCCAAAATTGGCAAAAGTAGGCATTGCTCAGTTTGAGTTTCAAGCACAAAGTGAGGATGACTTGAAGAATAGGTCTGGAAACGGTACGTGCTGTCAAAAGCAAACTCTCCAAAGTCTCTCTTATGCCACGGCATGTAGAAATTAGCTAAGCAAATATGTAGAGAAGCAGGAATACTTCCAGGCTGTACGCGACCTGGGCGACCCGCATGGAAAGTTGGAAGCGGAAATTGGCGTAAATGCGTTCGCTAAGGTCTTTCAGTTTATTAAATCAATTGCACCTGAAGACTGGGAGGTTATGATAGCCACGGAGGTAGTAGATGACGGGACACAATCTTACTTCGCTGGCATCTTTCGAGTAATCAACAACGGAACACCAGTTCATTGCGATTGGGCGCCTTATGATACTCGGACGGAATCATGGGCGATTAGCCGATTGACCCATCAACTTGCGGCCAATCTTTGCATAACCCCACCACCCATCAATAGTGGTGGTACTACTGTTCACGATTTGCAGTGGTCTCCCGAAGCATTGAAATTTCGTGACCCCGATAGTTATGGATATTTTCCGGAGCTTGTTGAGGGACGTCAAAAGGTAGACTTCCAACCTCATATTGGTGATCTATACCTCTTCAACTCTCGCAATATGCACCAAGTACATCCTGTCTATTCCGAGATAGGAACGCGCCGTTTGGCGATGTCAAGCTTCCTTGGAGTTATTCCGCCACTGAACGAAGGTGAGAAGACGAAGTTGGTGTTTTGGGGTTAAAGATTGGAGATATTATGGTATCGCCATATTCATGACGCTCAATATAATAAGTCGGGCTTTTCGTGCCTGTGTGTAGTCTTCAATCTGATGATATGTCATTCGGCGGTTTACATCAAGTTACCACAGAGATGATAAACTTTGAATGCTTTTTATGTCTCTGTGAATATGTCAGGAAATCTTTAGTTCTCTGCGAGAGACTTGTATCGCTGACACATGCAACGCATAGATCCAAATCCCTCTTGATGAGGAACATAATCAAGACAGTCGAGTGACTGGATTGAAAATCTAAATCATCTCCAGGTGAGGAGTTGGGAAGAGTGGATAATTCTGCCAGGCGGTGTGACTAGTGGTCATTTTGGGAGTGGAGCACAGGCGGCAGGGCATCTCGTTCTATTCATTCGAATATGTGACCACGATCAATCCTGACACCTTCAAACCCATCAGTCACTACAAATATCGATTTGTATCTTGTTTCGTGCACATTCTACCCCATAGAATTCTACTTATCTCAATCACTCTCTAGTAGCCTTGCAACCGAGCTTTCGACCGAAAAGACTACATTCAAAGCATGAATACTTCTTCCTTTCTCTCGCCATCATACTACTCGAGTAGATGCCAAATGGAATATCCTATTTTTTGGTCTTAGATTTTTGTGCTTTACTTCATAACGTTACAGTTCAAATGCGACTGCGTGTTTGATTTGTCTGCTTACGAAAACTTTTCCTCGGTTTTTACTCTTCCATTCAGCTTCTGGGGAACTCTGGGTCTTGTTCTTGCACTGACATATGGTTGCAATTACTCACCGTTAACTCAGGGACACCTGTTCACTCTCATATTTGTATGTTCGACTTATTCGCGCGCTGATTACAGTGTCTAGAAGCGGTCTTCTTTTTCGTCCAGGACTCTTAGTCCGGCACGCCGGTGTGCAGCTATTTGCACCTCTTGTTATCGATATTCTTCATGGGCAACATTGAGAGTTCAGACCTCGGAGTGATAAAGAAGTAGGCAGATGAAATATCCTAGAGTTCTTCGTTGTCTTCTGATTTTCTTGACTTGACATTTGTACTGGCTCATCAGCCATACAGAATAATACCTCTAGTGAAGTCAACCTTGAATACGATTTGCTGTCATCTTCTCAGGATTACCTGCGATCTCGAATTATAAATCCAAGTTCACTCTTCCATTCAGCAACCCTTTTCAAAGAGGAGCTCTGCATGTTCGCTGTAAAACCTCAGCATAATGTCACAAATGCAGGAGTTGTCACAGCAAGCATCGAGTCTGAACACGACACTTTGACCCAACTTCAAATGACCTCATTGGGAAACAAGAACTCGCATTTTTTTTCCCCTTCAGAGCCTGATATTGTAAAGTAAGCAATCATCAAAAGTATTTTTGTTGATGCAGAGTTTCCTGAGCCACTCTCATGGTACCAAGTGGATAAACTCACAAATGCACACATGGATATTTTAAGAACATAGCGCAGTTCTATTCTCGGTTGTTAATCCATCCCGTGCTAAGAGATGTCCTTTGTACTGTTACATGTTGTGATACAACACTCTTCGACCCAACACTAAAATCGCGAGCGGCGCAGGTGTTTCGTGGTAAGTGGAAAGCATTGTCAAGTTTGTTTGTGCTTCCAGGAATCTAGTGAAAGGAACCTTACAACATTTATTGGTGTTACACAGAATATATTATCCTTTTTAAATATTCTTATTCATGCAATTTGTCATTACTTTGACAATAAATGCAACCAACTTCGGCAGACGCCAATTTTGGAATTCGCCGAGCTTTGCCTTGAAGATAATTCTTGCTATCCATACCCCCCAAACACTTTAACAGGCTGTATTCCAAAGGGATGAAAAGACGGAGTTGATCAAATGATCATTTCGTGGATATATGCGGGTATGTGCATGGCCGGGTGGCTTGCATATAACGATTTTCCAGTTCTGACAGTATATTCGCTAGGCCGACCATGACTACATATTTATCTCGACGTTGATAAATTTATACATGCTATGCACAAATCATTATCAACGCAATTAATTGATCTGTTTCTGCTGTCAATGCAGAATTTTATGGCGCAGTACACCCGATACGATCACTAATAACCCGCCGGCTATTCTCCTTACCAAACTATGGCTCTGATGATGTACTTCCTCTGCCTCTTCAAGCAATGGATATCAACCGTCTTGCGGTGACATTCAATTTCATTTCACAATGCAAGAAGGTTGTTACTATTTTCGAATAGTAAGTGCCGTATAATAGTGTCAAATAGGAAGTCTAGGTCTGGTCGGCAATACGCTCCCAGGAGATTATGAACTGAGATATTTCAAGGTCTGCAGAGCATTGGGGGGCGGAGAATTTTGGATGTTCTCAATTCATGAGGCACAGACTCATGGGCAGGCCAACCCAATACTCAGACTTAAAATAGGAAGTTCATCTTCATTTTCCTTCATCTAACAATGCTCTTCTTATGCCCTTCTAGCCCTTGTTTACTTGTTGTCATCAAATCTGTTGTTGATGACTTCAGTCTCAATACATAATTCTCTACGCCATCGAAAGACTCTACTGATATTGACGGCTTGGAATTTCTCGAGTAGTTCAAAATGAACAATTCAACGCCAAATCCAATAGTCAACTATGAAACTTTCATGGTAAGCCTGTTCCATGTCCTATTTTCCGCGCTATTCTTAAACGTTGACTTTCATAACAGGGTGTAACTTGGGGATGTACTGCAATTTCGTTACTTTTTGTAACGTTCAGAATCTTTGTTAGAATTCGAACCTTCGGACGTCTTTCACCCGATGATTTCTGTGTCATTATGGCCTGGCTACTCCTTCTTTGCTGTGCAATTATTTGTCAGAAGATTAGTCGAGACATGTATGAGATGCTTGGGGTTTTGAACGGAGTCCTTCTCCCTCCACCGGAAGGATTTGAAAAGCATGCCGAGAGATTCCTTCGAGGCTCTGCGGTCGTATATGTTCTATACTACTGTACATTACGGCTTATCAAGATATCTTTCCTACTATTTTTTGGGCGACTTTTGGAGAACGTGGACTCCTATGTCTGGCCACGAAGTATTGTAGCCGTAGTTGTGTTTGCATCTTGGATGATATGCATTGGGACAATTCCCTATTCATGTTTGGTTCCAAGTTTTGAAAGAATTTCAGCCACTTGTCTATCTCGATTTGCAATCAGAATCCAACGCTTTACATTGGGTTTTGGATGCGGACTGGACGTCTTGACAGACGCAATGAGTAAGTCAATGTTCCCACATTCATTTCACCAGGGAAAACTAACAATCAAAGTTTTGGCTATTCATATCAGTATGCTGTGGACTGTACGCTTGAGCCGAAAGCGAAAGCTAGCATTGGCTGGTATTTTCTCACTCGTCATCATAACAATAATCTTTTCCATCGTTCGCCAGTCTGTTGTAAGCTCGTACTCGCATCAATTTGAGGAAAGCTGGCTTTATACGTAGAGTCTCGTAGAGCAGACTGTTGGTAGGTTTTATCTCATACCTCGGGTTAATATTTTGTTCCTATCGTTGACTTCAAGCATAGCTATCATAATTGCATGTCTTGCTTCGTTTCGATCTTTATTCGCCCGCAACGACCACGTGCAACCGACTCCTCCAAATCCGTCTGAAAGGTACTCGGTTGAGGGGAATAAGAAGAACGAAAAGCGATATTTTCATATCGACTTCAGCCTCATATCTGGCTTAACAGCTCCATCTACAGATGCAGACATAATGAAGACAACCTCTAGTGCTAATGAATTAGAAGATATAGTGCTTCACCATCAAAATATTCATGTACGACAAGACGTGGAGCAATCTTCCGAGTCGCAGGTCTAATTACTTTGCGAGATATTGTTACTGACATTTGGGAGCGCTTTGCCATTGAAAAGAGCCGAGTTTTTATTGCACCTTGCTTCTTTTTGCAATCAAGTGCTTTTTCAAGATATAACATTCTTTGTTCTTTTCATAACTGTTCTACTTGCTTTACACGATCTTAGAGAATGAAAGTTGGTTTGGTTCTGCATAATGAAACGAGATTTTACTGCTTGGCTGTTAATGTCGCATTGCCCCCCTACGGTACCAAACTGCCGCACTAAGTGAAATACATAATGATGGTTCAGCTTCAATCTTCGACTCATAACCCGATACTTGTTAATTTATATAAGGCTCGTTCTCATAACGCGTGCTTGGATGATTTTACTGCTCAAAGATGATCGGCTGACAGGTTGTGGGGCCCAACTGTTGGTCAGCAAGCTTAGTATTACTTCACCAATATTAGAATGTTGCACCGCAGAATAATATCTGCGTCGTAGATACTGTTCCTAATGATATTTTATCAAAGACATGGACTAGATATTGTCCAGCCACAACTCCGTCCCTGTGCGTACTTCATTGTATACATATCCGTGGCTAGAACAGTGCATTTGCATCATAACATACGAGAATGGTTGCACTTTTTAACGATGATCACTTAGGTCCATCCAAGCAAAATCAGTCTTCAAGATTTTATCTCTTCTCTTTTTTTCCTAAGGAGATACGCCTAAAGATATGGACTTTATCTCTTCATCAACACTGCTTCATCCCGATTTTTGTAAGCAAGGCGGCTGGTCAAGACAATGCAAGCCACCATGATCAATCTCACTTTTATTCTAATCATAATGACCTGGGCAAGATTATCAGCGGTGGTGATTACCAGCTTTCTATCAATAAGCCCATCTTAAATACAACAAATCAGCTGTTCTATGCCACGATAGAATCAAGATCAGTAGCACTAGAGTTTTATCGTATTCGCCTACCTCTTGCTCGAGGTCATATTCGAATCAACCCTGAGTATGATGTATTGTTCTTGCAGGATTGGGATAAAGCTCCTCAAATGCTCGCTGATATTCTTCATGATATCAGAGCTTATGATCCAAAAGATGAGGGCCTGATGCATCTGGCTCTCGCGGAAGGATCGGGAGATAGTTTATTTGATATTCCACATCCCTCTAATATACTCTCCGGACATACTGAGATGGTTGATTTTGGCTCGGACACAATCTTTAGCTCATCTCAAGACGAAGCTAAGGAAGAGATGCAACACGATAATCAAGTGCCCTTTTACAGTGAAACACTGACCTTTCTGAGAGATGCGAGTCGAGAACGGCGTAATCGCGGTATGGGTTATGGAACTTCACACATTTCTCATCACTCTATAGCCATCGCATCCCTCATTGATATACTCAGTACCAAGCTTCGGTCATTGTGGTGTGTTGAAAAATTACTATCTGACACAAGGATCTACGACAATATAGGACCGCGGATGGGAAGACCTCACTTATCAGAGACTTGTCCGATCATGCCTTCCATGAAACAAATGGGTAGATCCAGTATCAACTTTGAGTGGTTGGAGAGCGATCCGAGATCAATTCAACCAGATTTAAAACAACTAGCTTTCTGGCGGGATCCACGTCGATTCTATCATAGCTGGTGCATTCTGGGGGGAATTCTGCGTGTGCGGCATAGATCCGCTTTCAATTTTTATGTCTGCGTAACAACACAATTACCACCTCTTCGGGAATGGGGAGAAGATGTTGAGCAACATGTGTCAACAAAGCCTGGGGTGCGTCAGATGGTTGACCGTCATAGAGAAATTGAGCTGGCTCAATGGGAGGAATCGCTTGAGATTTACAAGAATAATCTCGGTATGAACATCCCTATGCATGGCTTTCTGAGAGACGAGGAGAGCTATAAGGAGTTGGAAAAAACTCCTTCAACCGCTGTTGGCATGTGGATCTTTACTGGAAAGGCGTTTGGGCAGGTCAATGGAGAGAATATCTGTGACGTATACGGGAGGTTCAAAGAGCATTTTAAGATGTCGGAAGTCCCTGGGCTTGTATTGTTTGACATTTGAGTTTTCATCCATGTACTACAGATCTATCCTTTCAGTCGCCAAGAAGTAGAAGTTTATTCCTTTCTTGGACGATCAAACAATTGAAATTGGCCTCAGAACTTTCTTCATCCTGTCAAGTGCCTCTACCATAACTTCCCGCTTCACAGCGAATGTCAATCTCACCCATCCAAATTCGCCGTAAGAGCCTAAATACCCCCCTCTTGGTGACATCAAAACCCCTGCATCCCTCAACTTTACCAAGACTGCCATCTCATCTTGCGCATTCTGTGAAATTGTGTGTGTTAGTTAACTTATCTGATGAAAACACTTAAGTAAATCCAAATTCAACCCCCGTGAAAGAAGACGTGGAGAAGGTCTGCTTCTGTACGGGACTCCTTGTGAGAAGGGAAAATGAGATAGACATCCATTTACCTTTGCATCTGCTACTATTCTAACAAATATCATAATTCCTGCTTTTACAGGAACGTAATCTATATTCCAATCTTTCAAAGTAGATGTCAATAAGTCATATGAAACTTTTAATCCTTCCTTATTAGCTTCTACAAGAGCTGGAAGTTGCGGCGACGTAAGAATCGCGGTTATACACAAGCTGCTGGGCGTTGAAACTTGCCAGACATTGGAATATGATATTCCATAAAGTAAAGGCTTATTCGCTTGTGATACGATACATCCCTGATCATTATAAGCCAGTTGCTTCAATCTCAGCATTATATGAAGGGTAGAAAGTATCACTCACCAATCTCATACCAGCACAACCGAAATCTTTACTTGGACTCCACATAACATGGACTCTACTCCGATCAATTCCTTTTCCTTCCTCTACCAAGCTTAAAGCAGAGGTGAAGGGTTTCTCGGGATCTGTATTAAATGCCGAGAGAGCACCAATTTCGTCAGATATATAATGAATTTGTTTTTCATGACAGAAATCCATCAGTTTGCGAAGAGTCTCTGGGGAATAAGTGTCATCTCCAGGGTTGTGAGGGTTACAAATCAAAATAGCTTTAATACGAGACTGAGTAGGACATGCATTGTAGGTGGTGATTAGACGATCGACGGAGTCGGAATCCACTATGCTGCGGAAGTTTGGTGAAGGTATGGTGAGAATGGTGGCTGGCGCATGGAGTCTGGTGAAAATATCAAAAGTTCCTGTATCGAAGAATTGCAATATCAGTTAGGTGATTTCTCGAGGGTTAAATGTACGAGACAGTCAACGACTCAAATCGAGAAAGTAGATTTATAGCCATCTGGAACGCGGACACTAACGGGCAACTGGAGCGAACGCCAATACAATGTCTCCCTCATCACAAATAGAGTACATCAGTGAATCAAGAACACTTGCGCAACCACTGCCTGTCGAGATATGATCTTCTTCTACCTTTAATGAAGGGTTGAAATATGTATTGAAGAATGAAGCGAATCCTTTTCGCATTGCTGCTTCACCCCCAAGACCTGTAGGGTATAGGAAACTCTAGGATATGTCAGTATGAGTGTTGACAAAAGAGTCTGTAGAAAATTCTGTACATCTTCACTTAGATTTTCATTCAAAGCATCTTTACATATGCTCAGCAGTTGAGGTATTAGTAAACGGTTCTCGGCTTGTTCTAGACGTATTATATCTGGTGGTGCAATATATGATAGAAATCCCAGCGGCGCCAATTTGGGAAGTTTGTTGGCCATGTGAGTGGAGAGACCATGCTCTAGATACTCTGAAGTTGAAGTCATGACTTGTTGACAATCTATTCAATAAAAAAGATTCCCCAAATTTAGAGGGGAAAAAATGGGCAGTTCTGCGCGCACTTGCGATGCCTTTATAGATAGACATCAATTTCCAAGTGTTGGTTAAGTTTTCTTTATCAAAGAATAGTATACATACTCGTACATATGACCCAATCTTTAATCGTAAGCCGACATCTTACTTGCATGTACCCCTGCCAAAACATCCCACTATACTTTTAGAGAAACCAAAAGCTTATCAAGCTTATGGTGCTTTCGTTTGGGTTTTTATATTACTCGCAATTGAAGATGCGTTGTCTAAGTTCTCGGTGACAAGATGAATGTGAATAATACATGAATGGCTCTACTTGCTTTCAATAGCAAATAATTTCTCTTCATGGCTTCACACCTCACCTTCTACCGTCAAATCCCTTTGTGAAATCTGCAACTATTGATAATCAATAAATTTGTAGCCGGGAATTTCCTCCGCCAACCCTGATTCGGACACGGAATTGGGAAGCTAGCAAGGTTCAAAGACTCAGGATGTTCACCACCCAGAGCGATTTGTCTTTCCGAACGATACATTCCAACTCAGAACATAAGATCAACACATTATTGCAAGACTGACTGCCGTCTTGTCGAACCGTAGCCAAACTATTGAAGACCTTGTGCCTATAGTTTGAGTCAACCAACGAGCTTGATACTGTGGTGTGTTCAGACTCTCAACTATGAACGTACGAAACTTCACACCTCCCATTTACAACACAATTTCCATCTTCATAATGATACACTCAAGAATTTTGATCCTTGCTAAGGGAGTTCTTGGCTTCAAGATCACGCTCCAAAGTGTAGATGTCTCAGACCTATCATTGGGCCCCACCAGTTCGATCTTAATCAACATCGAGGCGTGGAATTACGAGAGGACTGGAAGATCTCATGAGACAAGTCTTCTATGTAGTATATAGCTAGATTTGACTTGATTTCTAGTTGTCTTCAACTTGCTCCTTTGTGTCGCAATTCGGCAAATTGACAAGTGATTTGCGTTTGAGGAGATGCGAGGTTGATAAGCTCAATCTCATTCCCCCATGTATTCGCGAAATTACCACTTGATAATCTCTCTCCAAATTTCCGTCTACATTTACTCCTCAAAGACGTAGTAGCTAACTAAGGGAAACGCTCCATTGTTGAAGATATAAATAATATGATTTTTTGAGGTGACTTGTGACTTTCGCCTGTGACTATTCTTGCTGAATGCGGGAATGCGCCAAAACATGTGGCCTGGTGACGTCGGTAACCTTAAGTTAAGGCCAAGATTCTTAATTCACGTCGTTGCTTTCCTTACCTTGCCTTGAGATCCATCAACTTCAGCATCAAGATCAAGCAAAGCAAAGCAAAGCACGAACTCAATACATGAATGGCCATGATTTGATTCACATCTGAACTATACACAAACAAAAATGGCAAGTCCCTCAGAGATGAAGGCATTAAGTTTGTATTTTTTGACCTTTAATTGTGGTCTCGCTCTTATCGATACTGATGCGTTTGCCTCTCAACTCTTTAATGGCCTCTCATCTCCTAACTTGCCAGACCTGCTCGTTCTCTCCTTACAAGAAATTGCGCCAATACCATATTCTCTTATAGGTGGATCCTTTCTGGTACCATACTTCAATCGATTTCACGATGCGGTCGGAAAAGCTTCAAAGAAATTATCAAACGATGGGTCGGCCTATACTTCGATAGCAGCACGGAATGTTGGCTTGACGGGAATCATGATATTTGCAAAGGACCCAACACTCATACAAGATCTAGAGGCTGGTGAAATTGGAGTAGGAGCTTGGTCAATGGGAAATAAAGGAGCGGTTGGAATAAGATTTACATACGGAAGTGGAAATACCTCAACAGAGTTAACATTCGTTGCGGCACATCTTGCTGCTATGGAAGAAGAACTGCAAAGGCGAAACCAAGACTGGAAAGATATTGTCCGCGGATTGGTATTTTCTTCGACAACCTCAAATTATTCCACAACTTTACCTCGAGGTGATGAAGATAGACCATTGTTATCCATTTCACCACAAGATGGTTCAATCTTCAAAGCAACATCCCATCTATTTTTCGGCGGCGACTTAAATTATCGAACCTCCTTACTTTCCCCGGCGCCAAATGATCACATCAACACATTCCCACAACCGAACGATTCTACTTCCTCTTCCAATCATTATTCAACCCTATTCAAAAACGATCAACTCAACCAAGAAAGATTGGCTGGTCGAACTTGTCATGGGCTCATCGAAGCTCCAATATCATTCCCGCCTACATATAAATATGATTCCGAAGGACCATTCATGACATCTGATGAAGAATTGAACAAATGGCCTTGGGCAAAGCATAGATGGCCAAGTTGGTGTGATAGGATCCTGTTCCTTGATATGCCATCTTGGGTACAAAAGAGCAATCCAGAGGCCAAAATTATTCCAAACAAATATTCCGCATTACCTCTTCTCTCAACATCGGATCATAGAGCTGTGGCTTTAGATGTAACGATTCCTTTGTTACCTATTCCAGAACCCGAAGAGGAGGAGGATGTAAATGACCCTCGGGTCAAAATACCATTTGATATCGATATTGATTGGAAGAAGAAGAGGGAGAGAGCTAGAATGTTGGAATTAGTTGTGGGGTATACAATGTACTTCACAGGTACAAAGGAGGGCGCTGCTCTATTCGTTGCAATGGTTGTTGGTGGAGTGGGGGCTATATTTGTTTTTAAGTCGTTATTTGCCGCTTAAGATCAAATTATATGAGGATATGATTTATCGGACGGAGGCATTCTCGGGCATATCAAAGACTGCGAAGGCTTCGGTCGTCTGCAATGATGGTAAGTAATCATAAATATTTATAAGATTAAAAGGCTTGAGATCTCCCTCGCAAAATTTTACTTTCACACATCCCTTCTCAATTTCTGCAGATACCGCGTCTAGTTTGCCAATCAGGATTCTTGAGAGGCACTGCAAGCAGATTTCAAAAGAACTTGCTACTAAAGCATTAGCTCCATTCAGATTGCTCCAGTGAGCCATTTGATCCGTTCTCGATGCGACAAGCAATAGGCCGGCGACGAAGTATAATTCCTCAATCCCTTCTTTCTCATCCCTTCTAGATTCCACAACCTTCATTCTATCCATCTTGACACCCCATTAATAAAATGATAAACAACAGCTGATTCTAATTCCAAAGACTGTTTCGAGCATACCTATTTCGTGGGTTAGAGTCTGATATTGCTTAGGAGCAACGCAGAGATTCGGACCGAGTGGTTTCTTTCTTGTTAAGACGTAAGTCTAACGTAGACGCTCAGGGATTGTGATGCTCAGGTGTCACAACTCATATTGACTCGCGGGTAGCTTTCATCGTCTGCTGTCACATATTGGTCAAGGAAGATGTAATGTAATATATACTGTGTGATTCCATTCTCATGTAACTGTCAATTTTAGCCATTCGATTGGCTTCTCGTCAGAAGCTAAGTATCGCCCTTGGATCAAAGTGGTGTCGGCCACAAATGAGATTAATAAAAATTCTCACATCGCATCTCTATATATCACTCGACGAGCACTCTCACTTTTTGAGAAGAATTAAACAATGTGCCACGTGGGGTATGGCTGATCCCAAATTTACTATTTTACGTATCTTGCTAGCGTCAAATCTCCGAAGGCATCGAAAGTACCTAATTATTCGACACTGGCACTATTAACCCTGGTTGATGAGTTGCCAGTAGATTAATTCAACACTGCACTTAGAAGCTGTCTTGCGCGTCAACTGGTTTTGACATCACACTGCATGGAACTATTGACGTTAATGCTAGATATTGTTTAAAGAAATAAGGGTCTTTGATACCGGGAATGACTACCAACAAGACGGAAAACCTACACAGGCTTCTCCACGGACGCCGCATGCAAGAGTGGTGCTCCATTATCGCTTGAAGCGCACTGCCCACAATGGTCAAATGCCCGATCCCGGATATTTTGTCCGGTGCTGGCATTAGTTTTTGGAACGAGAGTCACGAGATGGAAAATAAATTCGTCTACGCGGACGCTAGATTGGGCCAACGCCATCTAGGTAATGGGGTTCATTCCCGAATGCGAAAGAGGCAAATCCTCTTCTCGTTGTTGAAATCTTATCTGATTGATCTGATGATCGTGTTAGAGATGATAGTTGATACCCAATTAAGTATTACCGTTATTCAATTCTCAAAGGTACCCTGTTATCTGATCAATCTGATTATGTACGTAGGAGAGCTCGAGGCGTAATTACTTACTCGGTCCTGACAGTACCCCACCCGCACTCGCTTGTCTTCTCTTTAAAATAGTCAAGTGTGAATGCATCCCATGTGAACGATCCGTTCCACGAAAAGTTTGCACTCCACATAGCTTCCGAATTTCCGCTTTTAAGATTCTGGTGATGACAATGTGGTCTCAGTCTTACTATATTCGATGGCTTACTATATCATAGTAACACCCTCACACATATATCAGATGAGTGAGAACTTTATCTTCCTGGTCATGAATCGTGATGAAGACGAAGATGTCGATCAGATTAGATAAATTTTGAAAAGCTTAAAGTTTTGATTTAGTCAATCTGATTAGATTATCATAATGGTCACTAGCATCACGGTCCCGAAATCGAGACCGGCTTCGATATCAAACACACATTCCGATTTCACCCATGGAAGTGGTGGTGGCGAGCAGTAATGTAACGCCATTCATATAATTGCTGCCTACTTGAGGAAAAGCCGGTCTAAGTTTTAATAAGTAGGTGAATCGGGAAATTTACTTCCTGCCATTCATCCCTGGTTATCGATGAAAATTTTGATCAGATTAGATAAAAGCTAGCTCAGTTCTCCCCACTTGATCCCACTGAACCCCACTTAGATGCCTTTAACCAGCTAATCAACTGTCTCCGGTAATAGTTAACATAATCGACCCATTCAAATTTATGCCCACCTTGTTCATAGACCCATCGACATTCGGCAATATGTCCACTCTTAGAAAAAAGGTGTGTTTGAAAGCGTTTTCTGATTGATTGATGTGCGTGAAATACGCAGCTCCAAGCTCATTCACTCTGCTTCTTACCTGCCTGAGCCTGCTTTACCTTGTGTGTATCATCATTTCATGAGTCTTCCTATTACTCGCGTCCTAGTCCACGCCGAACCTCGTTGACAATCACTAACTTGTGGGACTTTATGGGATGCCTCTTGGCTGTCCCAAGCACACGGCAGCATGCGAAATTTTCGAACCTTGTCCTAGCTGCAGCTATAGATGAATGGGCACATGTGGATGTGAATAGCCGTGTCAACAGGTAGGCCGAGATTTTAAGTATTAGTAGTGGCCGCCTCCCACGATACACCCATTGCTTTGTATTACCTGTACCATTTCAATTCTTTTGTGGACGTCCTTCCATTGATTTCCGAAATATTCGCGGAATCGACAAATCGCAATCATGGGGGCATTATCAAAATTCAGACCTGGATTTCGTCGAAAGGCTACCGAGGATATAATCAATGAAAGTTCAGAAGTAGCTATGGCTGATATGTCATCTTCAAACGAAAAAAATCCTGCGAAGCCCGCAGTCACTGGTGCCGACGATACTATCTCTCCAAGCAGTGCCAATGACGTACCAATCTCAGAGCAAGCCGAAAAAGATGTTCTGCCAACCGAAACTGCACAACGTGGTGTTCAAGAAGTCGAAGCAGTGGCTTTAACATGGACCAAACCAATGCTCGTCGCCGTTTTCCTAAAGTATGTGCACGCACTTGTTATTCCCATGCCCTGATATGGAAGCTAAACTATTCAATGACAGCATGTGGTTGCTTTACTTTGTTAATGCCATGCAATCTTCAATTTGTTACAATCTTATTCCATTCGCCACGAGTGCTTTCGAATCGCATTCTTTGATTACCGTTATTAATATCGTTGCGAACGCTATGACAGCTGCCATTTACATTCCACTTGCGAAGATGTTGGATCTTTGGGGTCGTGCTGAAGGATTTCTTCTCATGGTATTATTCTCTACCATTGGATTGATCATGATGGCGGCTTGCAATGGTATTGCTACCTTCTGTGCTGCACAGGTACTACCTCACCATTCCATATTTTTTTACCTTCAGCGCACTAACCTTCTTTCTCTAGGTCTTTTACTCCATTGGATTTGGTGGTTTGATCTACAGTATTGATGTTATTACTGCCGATGTTTCGAAATTAAAGAATCGAGGTCTTGCATACGCCTTCACTTCTTCACCATACATCATTACAGCATTTGCTGGACCAAAGGTCTCTGATGATTACTATTACAACATCAGCTGGAGATGGGGATTTGGTACCTTTGCTATCATCTTGCCATTTGTAGCAGCACCATTATACTTTATTTTGAAGACAAATCTCAAAAAGGCAAAGAACACAGGTGTTTTGATTAGAGAGAGCAGTGGCCGAACTCTTACAGAAAACATCTGGCATTACTTTGTGGAGTTTGATGGTAAGTCATGCTTTTCCAACCAAGATGTACATTTGGCATTTTTCTGACCATTGACTAGCTTTTGGTGTTGTGCTCTTTGCTGGAGGTTTTACCGTGTTTTTGCTGCCATTCACACTTGCTGACACTGCACCAAATGGTTGGCAAACGGGTTACATCATTGCCATGATTGTTGTTGGATTTGTGGTCCTTGTTATCTTTGCGCTTTACGAAACCTACCTTGCCAGGACACCTTTCTTGGACGTTAACCTTTTAGCAAACCGAACTGTTATTGGCGCTTGTCTGCTTGATTTGACTTATCAAATCTCTTACTACTGCTGGAACAGTTACTTCACATCTTTCCTACAAGTTGTCAACAACTTGACTATAGCAGAGGCTGGTTATGTGAGCGACACTTTTGATGTTGTTTCTGGTATCCTCCTTCTAGGAGTCGGTGTGTTGATTCGCAAGACTGGATACTTCAAATGGCTTTTGTATATTGCGGTTCCACTTTACGTCTTCGCTCAAGGTCTCATGATTTACTTCCGTCAACCTAATCAAAGCATCGGTTACATCGTCATGTGTCAAATTTTCATCTCTATTGGTGGAAGTGTTTTCATCATTGTCGAACAACTCGCCGTTCTCGCCGCTTCTGACCATCAACACGTCGCTGCGATTCTCGCGTTGCTTTATGTTGTTGGAAATATCGGCGGTGCCGTCGGAAACGCCATTTGTGGTGCTATCTGGACCAACACATTCCCACAAGCTTTGGAGAGATATCTTCCTGAATCGGCTATAGCAGATTTTGATAACATTTATGGTGATCTCTCCACTCAACTCACTTATCCATTGGGAAGCGAGACTAGAATCGCTATTCAACACGCATATGGATATGCACAAGAGAGAATGCTTATTGCAGGAACTGTTATTATTGCCTTGGCATTTGTCTGGGTTATGATGATTAAGAATATCAATGTCGCCCAAAAGACACAAGTCAAGGGTACAGTATTCTAAGTATGGAAAATAGTTTGGATTTTTTTACAGACGTATATTATCAAATGCCATGTGGTAATTCACTAGATTTACCGCTTTTCTCTTGACCCTTGGCAGGTCCTCGTAATTAACATGTCATAATATCAAAAGTTTTTAGATACCCTGCAAATTATTCCACCTTATCGTTCCTGGTGATCCTTGTTCGTGCAAACCGACATTGATTCGATATTGTATTTAGGCGGGGAAAATCACACATACTTCGTACATCATATCCAACATTTGCTGACCCATTAATTGTAAACGGTTTTGCTTCTCTTGCGAATCCAAGGAAGTAGAACATTCTTGTTAGTTAGTCTTCTTCTTTTAATAGTATTTGTTGACCCCAAACTGCCATTCTCATCAACCCAGAATGTCACTGACAGCTATCCATTACGTCTCATAGCGGGGGCCCAATACATCAACCCACACCAACCCTGGTAATCACGAATATTGATAAGATTTTAACTCTTCATCAGTGCATCAAGGCAAGCGAAGTCCTTTTAGCGTCATCTGATTAGATTAAATCATATGTAATCAATCTTATCTGATCCGCTCAAATAAGCATTTTCCCTCAATCCTTGATTTTTTGAGGGTTTTTGGCTAGGAAGACCTATCTACTAAGAACTATCGACGCGATCGAAGTGATTTTTATCCGTATTCCTGGAATTCCCTCGTAGTATACGAAATAATATCCGATCTCGGAATATTGTTTGAACGTGCTGTGCTATGCTGTTGGTGCTTTGAAAATTAATGACTAGAGTACCCGACAGTATTGCAAAATCCTTGTTGCGGTGAACACGGACGTTTCGAGTCGTGTCTGTGAAAATTGCATCCCACTTTTTGTTTCGAGAACTCAGTCACACTACTTGGCTAGTAAGACATATCTACATCAACGTGGTCGCCGATCTTGATTTATTGCCACCGTATATTTACGATTGAGTATTTTTTTCAAGCTCGTTCTATTCTTCCTAAATTTACATACAATTCTCTTCGGTAATCTCGCCTTAATATCTCTCAAAATGGCATCCAAATTCTGGCCTAAAGGTGGTCTTCCAGGTATCCTACATCATTATGTGAGCATTATTGTCTGTACATGAAAGACAATTCAATTAACAAACCCTATAGACCGAAACCCTCACAACATTCGAATACACATCTGGCACCATCGCCAAACCTCATAGTCTTCTCTTCATCGGAGGCTTAGGAGATGGTCTCGCAACCACCTCCTTCATGGCCGATATAGCCAAAGCTCTCCAACCCACCCCCTGGTCCCTCTTCACCCTCAATCTCTCATCTTCATACGCCCAATGGGGAACTTCTCACCTCGACCGTGATTCCGACGAAATAGCTGAATGTCTCCGCTACATTCAAGCCTACAAGCAATCTAAATTCCCCCACAGCAAAACCATCCTCATGGGTCATTCAACCGGTTCCCAAGTCGTGCTTCATTATTTACACAAACCCAATCCCCACACCACCACCCCCAAATTTGATCCCCATCTAAAACACGTGAAGCGTCCCGTTCTCGACGGTGCAATTATGCAAGCACCGATTTCCGATCGCGAGGCCATTCAATCGGTCCTCCAAGATGGGCTTGGCAAACGTCCCGCCAGCGAATGTCAAGCAGCATTTCGAACGATCCAAGAAATTGCAAAAGATGCCGCGAAACGTGATCAATCAATCGATATTCTTCTCCCCATGGCACTGACCTCGCAAATCGGCTACGGAACTACCCCGATTAGCTGTCGACGATTTATGAGTCTGGCTAGTCCTAAGAGTCCGCAACAACCTGAGGAAGATGATTTGTTCAGCTCGGATTTGAGTGATGAGCAATTATCGAAAACCTTTGGGATGATTAAAGAGAGGGGATTATTGCGGGATCAATTGGTCATTTTTTACTCGGGGGCTGATCAGGCGGTGCCGGATTGGGTGGATAAGGAGGGATTGTTGAAGAGGTGGAAGAATGCGGCGGATCATGGAGGAAAGGAGAAGGTGTGGGATGATGAATTTACGGCGATTATTCCGGGAGCCAGTCATGCGTTGAGTAATGATGATCAGGCGCCTGCGAGAGCATTTTTGTGTAAAAGGTTGATGGGTTATGTTCAGCGGATAGAGCAGAAGTGAGTGGTTAGGGAATGGATTTTAAGTAATACGATGTATGTTTGTCGAATGCTATGGGCTGTTTATGTAAAATACAGCTTAGAAATGATTTTCGGTTTCTGTCTGTCCTTTGGGAATTAAGAGTGTGAAAAGGTTGATATGTTCCAGCACTCTTGGAGCAAAGACGATATATCCTACCAGAGCAGTGTCACGAATGAGAGGGGTGAGTATGGGCTGAGAGATTACAATATTCCGAGGGCAGAATGAGGATGAGGTTGTCGATTTCCCATATGCTGAGAATGGATACGACAGGAGAAGAACGCAAATGTTCGATCATATTGTATGACCATTCTTATATACCTCATCCATTTAAGTAACTTCGTGTTCTCATCTCGAGTTGTTTGTAAAGCATTACTTGTTGCCCCATCTCATATTTATGCTAGTATCATTCAACAAAGAAATGGCTCTCCACCTTTCATATCCAGATCAAGGCTATCTACATCTCAAAATCAAGCTATCAAGACGAACATCTCAATCATATGAACTCCGAAAACCGGAGAGTTTACATATCAAAATCCCGTTTCAGATAGTTCACGTGAAACTGTGTGGAAAAACATTACATTCATGTAGGATAAATAAATCAAATGTATTTATTCAGTCATGGATATCTAGGTATCTAATAAAACTCGCAAAACTCCCTCCGTGTATTCGAAATGCCTTGAAGCAAAAATGAAAATCCCTTCAACTTCTGAATGCCTAAAAGCCGTCCTAATGATTCAAATTCAACGTGAAGATCCCACGGACACTCTCAAATCAGCCTGTGATATCTCCAAAAGCTACTCATTCTCGTTGTTCTTGTCATCCTCGTCACATTTCTCCAATTGGCCTAATCGACCCTGCTTCTGACTCCGGCGAACCGTATCAACACGAGGAACTGAATCTGCAAGACGGAATCCTGAACTAGTATCCCCAATATACCGTTGATAACCATGGTTATCAGGACGAACCTGCTGAACATCACGACGGGCATCCGGGTGACCAAATCTTCTAACAGGAGTTCCATGCAAAGTGTGCATCTCTTGCCGATGAAACATGGTCATAGTCACCGCGGCATCCAACTCCGTATTCGGGCGCGGAGCAGAGGTCCCACGGTTATATCCAGAATAATCTTGCTCGACGAAAAGACTCTTTCCGTCGTCTTCGGGGGTGGGATCGCGGATGATGATGGGTTGGTGTTTCTGGAGACTTAGGGGTTGGTGGGGAGCTTTTGATGGGGTTGTAAAAGTGAGTCTCATGTGAGTTTCTGGGTGACGGGTCTGAAGAGGAGTTTGAGCTTCGGGGACGTTCAGGATACCATCGGGGGTGATTTGTTGCCGGATATTTAGTGTGGGATTGGCGGTATGCATTTGGAGCTCTGTATGGGTGAAAGTGGCGATTTGTTGATGAACCGGAGTTTATTGGAGGGTCAGGAAATCGTCTCTGAGCCATGCTTGGGCCTTCAAATCGTGTGGAATAGCTCTCAGGAGCAGGATAGTCCGTCATGAAAGAATGGTTCGAATTGTAACCTGAAGATTCTGTGCTATTTCGGCGGGAACTCGCTGCTTTTCGCTGCTCCATAGGGCTTGTTGTGCGTTTTCTGGACTGACCTGCAACAACTGGTAAAAGTGACGCTGTACCAACCCCCTTCTTAGCTTTCGTGACTCTAGATGCTCTTGGTTGTCGACCAGCACCACGCTGAGCAGCTTTCGCACTTGCCGCCAATATCCTAACGCGATCTTCGCCCCAATCTTTCTTGACAGTCTGGGTACCAGTGCTCATACAACATATTTCCAGTATATTGTCTACGAGCAAGTTTTCTTTGATCCATGTCATGTTGCATCATGTCCGCGAGATCCGTCCATGACATACCTTTGTTGGGGTTATATGCGCCATCTTACCGTTGAAGCGGGACTTGGTCATGACTTCGTGGACAAATATTCCTGCTCTTGTGGACTCCAGAATTTACCGCCCATTTTGGAGTAATCGGAGGTGGATAGGGGTAGATGCTGGGGGGTATGATGATGATAGCCGAGGTTTCCTGTATTGATAGGTCGTTTAAGGTAACGGGGTTAACAAGAAGGTTCGAAGAAGCTCGACTTATGTCAAATTCATCCTATTCAGGATAGTAAAAGGTTGAATTGTGAATCAGAGAAAGTTCCAGAGTCGTCCGAGTATTTACCTAGGGAACAAGCTTGGTCGCGTGATCACAAGATTGAAGTAATATTCTGCTCCAACAAAGCAAGTTTTCGACGTCGAGCAGATAAAGAGGACCTTGATGGAGAGACCAGCGTGTTTTTAGGCGTCAATAAAAGAAAACTCGCTTCTTGAAGTCCGAAAGGGAAAAGATCTGGGAGGGTTTGTTAAGATTGAGGATCGGATGATCAAAAGATAGCTCGGTCTCCTGGCTTGGAGTAATATTTTATCGTGGATCGGAGACGAAATAGGTCTAGAAATTAAGTGTTGCCATGTTAGCAAGACATCATCGCTATTTCAAAAGTAATCCATCAAGAAAGGAAATGAAGGGCGTGAGTGAACGAGATTTCATACATTCTATACCATAAAGTTCGAGTGTAGGCAGTTTTGAAGGAAGTTCCAAAGATAATCTTGTTGTAAAACAATGTATACTCGCAGAAAATCAACCATACACGATTCTTGGATCGAATTTGACCACAGTAGTTCGATTCTTCGACGAAAATGGCACGTTGGAGACGACAAAATGAATTATATTGAGAAACTTAGTATTGAAATATGAAGTAAATAGATCTCAGGAAGCTTTCCGAGGCTAATACACAATCAAAAGGCGTGGAGTAATTGTTAAGAACGTTGAGAGCAGTTTGTAATGAACGAGTTCAAAGGATGATGGATTAAACTTTGGGAGAGAAGGAAAGGTGCGATACTTAAAGGGGGCTAGGGGCCAGTCATGAAGTGGTATGTTATGTTGAAAGTGAATTAGATTCTACATCAGTCATAACATATTGGATGATTTTTCATATTCTTTTTGGATTTTGAGATATAAAGAATGTTGCCTGGTATTCACAAGCGAGAAAACGGAAGTGTAGCTTTAGGATCTCTATCGAATCACGGCGCAAGAATTACAGCTTCGAGGGGAAATCATAGAGATTTCAATTAAAAATTTCGACATCACAATTTGAAGATATGTTGCCAGCAGCTCGAAGGTCGACTAGAGTTATCACTTGACCACTCGAAGCCTGAAGCAAGAATGAACTTTGCGAAATGGAAGAGGACTGACCGAAATTTAATCGCAATGGGAGAGCAGATGAAGCTTTCTCGCTGCTGGGTAGTACATGGCAAGCAGAATGAAAAGCAGAAGCTCATCAACACAGCTCCCCGTACAAGTAGGAATGATGAGACCGTGAGGCTGGAATTCCGTGGATAGGCATTCAAGAACAAGACGAACACTTCAATATTGCGAAATATGATTAGGATCGTAGATGTGTAACACACCGCTCGAGACCTAAGTAGATATCGAGATCGGCAGAAAGTCAGAAAGTAAGCCACTTGGCTTGGGCTCATAACGGAGAGCTGGAGCGCCAATATTGGCGAAATTGTGTCTGGAACCAAGAAGGCATACTAGACTCTAGGCCACATAGCTACAACCACTGTAGGGCATCTCTATCTGGTCCAGCGATTTGGTATGCGCAACCGGCGCTACTTTATCATTCCAGTCTTGCTATACCACGGAGTATAGAAAAACCATCTTGGAACTGGCATGTAGTAAGATATATGTAATTTCAAGCCGTTACTCGAAGACAATCTCGCGCGGGACTTAAGGTCGTTATTTACACATTGTTGCTTCTTGGATCATGATCACAACGGGGCATCTTATAAAGTTTTCATTAAATCGTTAACGGCTTTCGCAGCAAATCTCTTCCTCTCAGCTTCTGGCAAATCCGCACCCATATCTGTTTATGTCAGTTTGTAAGTTTCCCAATAAGTAGATATCTCTTACCTTTGACTGCTTGCATTCTCAACATCAAAGCTTCGAGCTGCTCTACTCCATCCTCATTCTCTACTTCTTCTTCGGGGTTCGTTTTTTCGGAGGACTCGCCATAAATTGCCTGCTTCATACCGAACATTTCCATTTCCAATTCAGCCGCTTCGATACCGAACCCGATGCTTTTATTGTCATCGCCATCATCCTCGAAGTCACCAAGATCAAGACCTTCCCCATCATCATCACCACCCTCCCATTCATTGGCTTCTAAAGCTTCCTTCAACCTCTCAAGACCCATGGGTTCTACAGGTGTCAACAATAAACATGTAATTTTATTGAAATCATTATCTTACCTGAGTACTCATTCGACCTTTGCTTTCAAAATCAATAAATTCAAAGCCATGCTCCTGGCACAATTCTTCCCACTCGTCGAAGCTTTTCTCCAGGTATGGAGTCGTTGACTGTGGCATAGCCACGGCCAAACAAACGCCATCCCAAGTATAACCACAACCCTCCTTAACAACCTCGGCCACACCCTCCAAAAGAACCTTAAAAGCTTGTAACTCAGCTTCATCGACAGGCTTTCGGAAACATACAATAAAGGCACCAAGAACCGTCAGAACTTCTCGAGCTTCTGGTGCCAAAAATTCCTTACACCATATTTCTGGCTCATGTATCTCATCAAGCCATATTGGAACACTTGCGGTATAGTAATTAGTTTTGATAGACCAGTCATGTGTTACACCTGCGATAGAGTCCCCTGTGAGAGCAGGCGCAGAACCCGTGAGACCTTGAAAGGTAAGTCAATGTCCAAATCGTGTTTATAAGCATAGGTGGTGTTCAAACCTTTCAATAAGTCTACAAGACCAGAATCTGGTCTACTAACAGCTAGAATACGCCGTGGATGTGAAATTTCCATCGCCATGATTGATTGTATGTATTGATCAATCTATGTCGGGAACACAAGGAAAAACAGTAGGTTTGATATTATGTCGGAAGTTTCTTTGCCCGATCCGAAATTTAAAGTAGCATTATATCATTGGCTTATTTTCTTTGACATCTGAACAAGTTCATTGGAATATACCTAAATAGGGAGAGATATAGCATCTATCTTTAGGATATTGGATATAAGCTCCTAATTGCTCTGCTCTAACTCAAATGCTAGTAAGGAAAAAGCCCTCCCCATGTATGCTTGTGCGCTGGGTCATCCTCAATATTCGAGCCTTCGTAGCTCTCCTCTGCCCAGACTAGCTTTGCAATTTATCATAAGTTTTCCTCAAACGCCGACACTTGAAAAAATTATCCTTTCATCCACATATAATATGAGTCTCTCAACCTCTTGGTGCTCCTCGTCCACTTGCTCTCGCCCTGCTAACTGTAGCCCTTCCTCTTGCCAATCCGACACCTCTACCCCTAGTATTTCTACTCCTGAACATAGGCGCGTTCCTGCAATAATTTGCGTTAGCCTTGTCCACAATGATATATACTGCTCCGGAGCTTCATCTTGGCTCCACTAACCTTAACATATCTGGAACAATAAAGAATCTCACGTGTGAGCCTCTGATGTATACTTGGTCCAAATGACTGACACGACCGTCACGCGCTGTGACAGTAATATCCTTAAGTTGAACGTTCATGTTATCTTCCGCTAGAATGATCTCGAATTAGCATGTCCCTTCTTTCTTTTCTTGCGATTTGCGAGCTTGTTCAACGTAATAGGTAATCGTACCTTCCAAAAGCTTTCCACGGTAGACCTGACCGGTCGTGATCTCGAGAGTTACGACATGACCCTAATAAACGATGGCTATCAGCAGAGAACGTGGCAGATGTCAAATGAGAGAAGAGAAGTCCGTCGGGCCTTGGTACACTGGACCTTGGAGCCTATGAGGAATAGAATGGACTAACTTGGGCCTCGTTCAAGAGCTTGATTGGTATTCCGATTGTGCTCGTCATGATTGCTATAGATCGATTATATCGCGAGGAATTGGGTAGAGAGAGATGAGGGTCTGGGATAAAGTCGTTGAAAGTCGGCGCGCGTGAATGTCAATATCCGAGTGAAGCTTTGGATATCTCAGAATAATTTGACGCTAGTGATCTTGAAGCTTTCGGTAACTTCCGTCTACCATCTTCAAGCAATCCTCCCTCAGAATTATTGATCCGATCCGAACATTACAACCATTGCATAAGAAATTACATCAATGGATATGAATACTCTTAACATATCAGCAACGGTGAATATATTTCGTCTTCTCGTAAGACCGAAATTGATTTTGCCTCAAGCAACCGTTTCCACATTCAACCACCTACCGATACCTCTCAACTCGGCTTTTGATAAATACAAAAATGCTGATATTAGAGCTGTAGTGTTGGACAAGGATAATTGCTTCGCATATCCTAAATCCAATGACATATACGAGCCTTACAATGTACGTTGGAGCGTGTACTTTATGGTTTCTCAACTTGTCGATCTACACTGAGCACGCTGGGTGGGGTGTTTAGTCTACCTGCATCTGTCTTTCTTACATTTATCCTATCACTTCTGCGTTCCTGTCTTTCCCAATCGAACTTGAATCATGAGATCTTTTTTCAATGTTAATTGGTTCTAGGAAACTTTCAAAAAACTTCGGGAAGCTTATCCAGGCCGGCGGCTTCTGATTGTTTCTAATACAGCAGGTGCTGAATCTTTAGATCGTTCTGGCAGGCTTGCTGTTGAAGTTGAGAAGTCTACAGGCGTTACAGTCTTATCTCACGCTTCTAAGAAGCCCGGATGTGGTCCTGATATTATGGAATACTTTTCCAAGTATCCCGAGACCGGAGTCACCAGACCAGATCAAATAGCAGTTGTCGGGGATAGACTCACCACTGATGTTATGATGGCAAACCTCATGGGCAGTTATTCCGTATGGATCAAAGATGGAGTTGTACCAGTGGAGGAAACAAGTGTGGTAAGTATTATAGGTATCATTACGAGTTAAATCTAATAGGTATCTTAGTTTGCAAGGTTGGAGCAGAAGTTCGCTGGATTTTTGATTCGACGTGGTTACGAGGCCCCAGAACCAGCAAGTCCATTCGAGAAGTAGACTTGCATCATTCATTACTCATCTGCAACGATGCGTTGCTTTCTAATCAAAATAAATCTTCACCTTACTCTAACTTGGCCTCCCCCTTCTCGCAAGTAAATGTGCAGAAGCTACCATTATAGTACACTAGTTGTGTTGATGGTACTCACACATGGGGGATAATGAGAAACAGTCAAGAGAGCAGCTGGCGGTCCAAGTTCATCAAGCAGAAGTGAGAAAAGGAGTAGTGATGCTCCTTTGACTAGGACTGCTAGTGGTAACCGAATACCTCCACAGCTTCGAAATGCTTGGCTTGTTGGACACATTGAATCAATTTGGCCAAGACTGTATCAGACGAGAATTATAGATTCGGCCTAAGCATACAGAGGCTTGTCAAGGCTGCCCAAGTAATTTCCCTTCTGGTGATATGAAGAAAAAGGAGCCCGATTAATATGAACTGGTGGAGAAGTCACTTGCCATCGTCCCGACAGACGAGACAAACACACGAGCAACCGAAAAACGCAGGCAGCTTGATTATTATACATCCAAGAGAATGATTCAATTTCCAGTAAATCAATTTTAACCACCGATTACAATGCGAACCCAACATATTTCTCTCTTTTTCACATCACTTCTTGTGCTCCACCCCTCGTATCGTATGCTTCTTGGTATTTTCCGCGCGATTATCACCACATCGGGTCTTTTTACAAGGTATCCGAAGTTAAAACAGCTTTATAAAACATGAAGCGATATGTCTACTGAACAACCTATAGGAGATTGACTGTGGTTGCTTGGAAACCCACATGCATCAATTAAAGTTTAGCTTTCCATCCCCATTATTACCGGAGAACTGGGAATCTGCAATCTCCCTTCATATGACTACATTATTTTCCCAAAACTTGTGACGAAGTTTGTAATCTGCATACCCAGGTACTGCAAGCAAATACTGACGCCGTTGTTAGATATCGGATAAGATTTCAAGTATGTTCTATGTTAGATCTTTCCCGTATACTAATCTTTCTTGATATTCTTAGCCCTTCTGGGACATTGAATTCGTTTGAGAGGTTAAGTCTTCTTTCTTCGTCTTTCTTTCTCTCGGAAATCAAGCTAAATTAGAAATCCATAGTTTGTAAACGCTGAGAGCCACGCAGTTTGGCATACAATTGTATGGATGCAAAGCGCAGATCATGTTACCTCAGCGCAACTGGCATGAAAATACGTCTATTAGAATACTGGCTAGCTGCTGTTCTTCCAACACTATTGTTTATCATAAATGGCTACACTCGTTCGTGTGCGAGACCTCGAAAGAAGAATACTTGTCCGACAATGACGTCTGAACAGAATACAAATGTAGACGATGTTTCTGTTCAAGACTTTGTGCGGTACTTACGTGGCCATTCTACCGAGTCACTATGTTCCCAAACAGATGGAACACACTGAGCCTCGTTGTACATGTAATGGATGTTCCATAGTCACCGCTTGGCTAGAGAAATAGGCCCACAGTCTCTTCTTGGCCAAAAGATCTGAGAAACCTTATCTTTCTCGTTTCGACTTAGAGTCAACTCAAAACAACAAGTTCGTCTCGCTTTGTTCTCTATATTCGAATTATCGAAAGCGAGACAGGCCGCATTGAAAACATTATTGTGATAACGGTCGAGCCTCAACAAGTCTTTCTCGAAGTTTATGCGACACCGATTTGACAGTCGGGTGGAGGCAGTAGATCTTGTGGGGAGGGCACAATCTCATAATCTCCATTGGGAAGGCCAAGCATGGAACCGGGAGGGCCATGCAATGATTGTCGTCTGAACTTGGCAGATAGAATAGGGAATCCCAGCTTATGTTCTGCTAGTGGTGTTATGCATCAAAGAGGAACAAGAACATGACATAATATATTTGAGTAGTTGTGTGGTTATTTTTGGCGCAGTAGTAAGCTGATTAGCAGATAGTGTTGTGGATCTAACGATGCTACCTACCACAAAGAACACCTAGGTAGATCTCGCGAATTTTCGGGCTGAAAATGCTTGAAAACGAAAGGACAATGGAGAGGAATTCAGGGCCGGCACAGCGGTGCTACTTTCCAAATCATTTTTGACTGTAAAAATCCCGGTGAGAGTGGCGTAGGTAGAAAAAGCCACCACCATGTCTTGCATAGGATATCCATAGCCGTGCGTACCAGGGATGTTCACGGCGAGATAAATGGCCGCGATGGCCTCATAATTGTAAGGGTCTCGTGAAATATTATGGGGTTCGGTTTACTCGACTTCTTCGGTTCTTCTCCGTTCAACTCGCAATCGTGTCTTGTCCCCGTCTCCTGTCAAAACTCAAAAGTATCACGATTGAGTTGTGCTTACGCGCAACACTGACAAAAGATCAACATCTGCTCTCGAGAGAAAATCGGAGAAACTTCTCAATGGAGCGGAACACGTGAGCCGCTCATCCCATGCTTCTGCATTATGCTTATGCTTATGCTCTGCGGTTTGACGTTTTAGGCCAATTTTCCGCACGAAAAGTAGGCTAATGCCCTCCTACCCCTTTATGCATCCTGTTTTGGTGGGGGTGAAGATAGCATCTATATCCATCTCTGGTTAGCGTCGCACAGGTTCTGTCTTCAAAAACTTTCGGATGGAGCAATACGGATTCTAACGATTGTAAAACGGGCTTCCTTTACCTGACTGGCTTCAATCCTTTTGTTTCAGTACGTGGAAGAGAAGAGTGATTTTTGTTGCTAATGATTCTAATTGATTCTAGGTTTTACTGAACGAGCTATACGTCCCTAGGCGAAAAGATAGAGGGCAAAATTGATTCCAAATGAATTTATAAGAATTGTAGGTATTAATGAATTCTTAGATATCGTTCAGTTATCATACTACATAGGGGTTTAACTCTCTGAAATGAAATGGAACAATTGGATTGTCGAAGGGTTTCGCCAGTGGTCAATTCTGGTCTGTTTTTTCTCCTACGAAGAGACGGGTTTGCCGATTTATACAGTAGCTATATATTACCTCATCGTCCAGGGCAGCGAATCCGCGATTGATAATGTCGTATCGATCTCACCAGAAACCATTTTTTGATCGAAAGGTACCAAAATGCAAAGATACGAGAGAGAGCGATCGAATAGCTTCGTAGGTAGTAGACAAGACAATACAAGGCTACCCCAATTTATTGGTTTGGGGGTTTGAATTTTTATGGATTGATTCGTCGATGTATACAATCACTATTGCCACCCCCTTAAAGCTGGCAGCGTTCCTGACTAGAACTTCTACCATGACTATCAAACTAATCTCCATTGAGTATCATGCATAATCATACAAAAGATGAACCACACGTTAGTCCCGCACAATCGCCGAGCCAGTCGATGCAGGTACAAAAGTTGTTGCATGCTTCGAAGTTCACCCTTTTTGTTTGCCGGTACTGCGGTACGAAGCAGACGCTTGTTCCATCTAGGTACGGCTCGCAACTAAAACAACATACTATTCTCCCTCGGGCTTAGATATGTCACCAGTCAAACGAATCATTCGAGCTAATGGTGTTTAGATCCAGGTTTTAATATTTATGTTGATGCCAAATTGCCAATGCCATCATGTTTTTTTGTCCCTCCGTCCCATCTTTTTTTATACATTTCGGCATTCGCGCTTGTTATTGGTTTCAACGAGCGGTAAATCGTGGCTGAATGGGTAGGTAAGGTTTTTCAGGGAATCAGGGGTGATATTTGTGTTGACGATGGATGGAACTCTGAATGGTTTCAATTGTTTGCGAGGGGGGAAAGAAGCAAAGTCTTGGATTTCGAATACAAATAATTCTCTTCTTCCCAACTTCATCATCATCATCATCATCATCATCAATATACTGTGTAGAGAAGCATGTATCTGAGTGACTTTTGTGTATGTACTTGCAACATTGTCACATCACATCATTGTCAGGAAAAGAGGTGTACAGTGTACTGCGTTATGCTGTACACTTTGCATGACTCGGTCGGTTGATTGCATGTGTTGTTATAGTTACAAGTGATCGAGTAACGTGCAGCAAAAGATGTGCATGGTGATTGGTACGGAAAAGATGCATATGGACTCGGATGAAGAGGGTCGGTACCAGAAAGTCAGAAGACGGATCCTCTTCAAAAAATAAAAAGGTAAGAGCACTGTGCGACTCGACCCCCAAGTTGGCACTCCACTGGCAGTGATATATCAATTCGCCCACATCCGGTGTCTTTTTCCAGGGCATTCACCGTCTATCCAACGACAATCATACCGTAAGTATGTACAAAGACCGAAGAAAGATGATTCCAGACAAGAAAATGCGGCGGTTGGATTCGCTGCCAGCCACCAACGAGGATTGAGACTGGTCCTGAAAAGTCCGGAATCTGCAACAACGCAATTCAGGGGTATGGTATACCCATGTTTGAGGAGGAAGAGGAACAAGACCAGGATGACGGGAGCCACTACACGACGATTGGTGTATGGATTGGTCGTAGTGCACCACTCTACGGAGGACTTGGGTAGAGTAGTGCATCAATGGCAGCAGCGGAGCTTTGAATTATTCTTCTTGCCATACAAAATGCAAGAATAACTTACACAGGACATAAAATTTTGCATACGTGCGTACTTCTACATAAAAGTACATATGACGCTAATCAATTTTACATGGATCTTCTTTACCCCCTTTTTGGATCTTTTTCCAATCCAGGTCGTGCTCGCATGGGTGTAGGTTTTGGTGTAGGTGACTAAACCGCTGGGCCACGCACAGGCATCTTGGGGGGGAGGTCTCGAGGTATGATTTTCTGAAGGAATACAATGATCAAGGGATCGAGTTTATCAAATCCTGGATGGAGAGAAAGCGAAAGATTCACCTCGTTTAGTACCGGTATACCGTCCTGTTTTGGTGCCCGTCTGATGCCTTAGATCGTGCACAAAAATGGCAAACTGCCATTCGTAATGGGCGTCGGCATTCCATTACTCGATGTGGTAAATAATAGTCCAACCGTTTGTCAGATAGATTAGACTAATTCATCAGTTCATGTATGTATATGGATCGCGAGAAAGTAACTGGGTAGATGGGAAGATAGCATTGGATAACAGAAGTAGAAAGTCGGTACCTAACAATAATCAATTGAGACTACTGCATTACTATTTTTGAGAGAACCACCCCCCTCATCCCCACTCATCCACTGTGCCAATGGACTACATGGAGGTACCTACATGCGTTGGATGTATGAACTGGCAAATTCAGTCAATGGTATGCGTTGTTGAGTTGATGTGGGAGGAATACTCGAGTACCTACCTAGGTAGGTAGTTTTAGTTGGATGGAGAGGTCTAGAATAGAAAAGAATGACAAGATGGAGAGTCAACAGGAGCGCGTGATGATGCTCTTTTCCAATCATTCACTCTCTCTGATTCCCTCCTTGACCCCCTCTCTCGCTTTCTCTTACCTAGGGATTCTCTTTTTCTCACATCCTGTACGTACAATATTGTCAGTATTGTACCTAGGTAATTAGGATTTCGAGAGTGAGAGTGAATAGAATGCCTAGGTTATCCGAAGTAGATGGTTGTGAAGAAAGACTGTTAGCAGCACACGTGTATCTGTCTACCAACGACCAATTGTCGGTTAGATTCTTGTTAGACTCTTTCTTGTTTACGACTGCTATACTTGCTGCTACTGCTTATCTTTGTCTTGTTTTGTCTAGATGCTTATAAATTCTCAACATCTTGCTTGTTTGTCTGCTTGCCTGCCTCGCTTGCCCGCTTGTAACTTGTAAGTCATGGACTTAATGGACTTTGGCTTGCTTCACAAGTTCACTTGAGGGTTTGTGGATTGGTGGATGGTTTCAAGGATTAGCTCTATTTTAGTGTATTTTGACTGGTCAGACTTGAGTTGAGCCAGTCATAATTGAGTAAATTTGTCCAGTGGGTGACGGTTGACCAAATGACTTTTAATACACCACGCTACCACATAAACCACCCACACTACCGCACTACTACATTATCCACGCTAAAATTTATTATTCACTATACCCACACCTCTGATCCGCTCGCCTTTTCCCCCTTCCCATTCCCTCTTTTTGTCTTATTCCCTTTTACTATCGTGGAATCTTCCTCTCTCTTAAAACAACTTCATCATCGTCTCTTCTATCAAAAGTCTTTCCCCCCCCTTGTGATTTTCTCCCCTTTCCCTCTTGTCTTTCTTTTAATCGGATTCTTCGGGTCCATTACACTCCTTCGGATTCTCAGTTGTCAAATTCACATTTACATTCTACCTCTTCACAATTCTTCTGTAGAGAAAAGAATAAAGTCGTTGTTGACTTGAACACTCCTTCGATTCGAACTTCCACACTTCCAGTCTTTACATTCAACCACAAAGTAAACAGAAGAGTCATCTTGACCCTTTTAACACTCTTTCTTCATAAATCTACGACGCTTCATTTACGAATCTCTTGAGACTCTATTCAAATCTATACCATACATTACAATACAATACAATACAATATTTCCTGCAAGATTCAGCGAAGCATTTGTTTTGAAATATATCCATCTTGTCAAAGTTTGGATTTACTCAAAGACCCTTTTATTTATTCTCCCTTAGGCTTCGACGCAGAAAAACAACAACCTGTGCATACAAAGCACATAGCATCTCGACGATCACAGAGACTCGTACAACCAAGGACAACAGCTTGTCATATACTACATATACAAACATTGGAGGAAGATTGAACTATTAGGAACATACGAAAGTAATCGACAACGGTCCTAACAACTTAATAAAGATGTCGGACATGTCGCAAGAAGATGCTCTCAAGATGCTCTCAACACCCTCTCCTACCGCGTCGAACTCGGCTGGAAGTAGCTCGGCTTCCCGCAGACCTCCGCGCAAGAGCACATTAACACAACAACAAAAGAACCAGAAGAGACAGAGAGCTACACAAGATCAATTGGTCACTTTGGAAATGGAATTCAATAAAAATCCAACACCCACCGCCACAGTTAGAGAGAGAATCGCGGAGGATATCACCATGACTGAACGTTCTGTTCAAATCTGGTTCCAAAACAGGTCAGTTATTTTCACACTAAACAAGCATCGCATAGTCTAATAGCCTTTCGCAGACGTGCAAAGATCAAGCTCATGGCAAAGAAGAGTATCGAGACTGGAGAGACTTGTGAAATTCCAGAAACCATGCGCCAATACCTTGCGATTCAGGAGATGGAATCAGGAAAGTCACTGGGTGGTAACTTCTTGGGCCGAGGTGGACTTATGCCCTATGGTAGTGGCAACATGCTCATGGGTGGTGATCACGGCCCTCAAGGAAAAGTTGGTAAGTAGAACTACAGATCTCATTATGTTGTGATCTTATGCTGACATTGAATAGTGATTCATCATCTTTCGTGTAGATCACTGAGTATTGGATCCTGGAGACGAATCGGTCAGAATGCCATGGATCTCATCATCTTCTACTCGCCGGATAAGTCAACAATGACCTACTACATCAACAACGATCAAGCTGGTTACAAAATTGAGTATCCATTTTCGTCAATCAAAAATATCTACCTGGAAAATGGAGATAATGAGTCGCGACCTGGTGGATTAGTTGTTGAACTTATTCGTGCGCCAAACTTTTTCATGGACTCTTCTGGATCGGGTGGATTTTACCAATGTGGTGATTTTACAGAAGACCAGCAAGCATCTCAAGTCATGGTTCATCATTTGGGTGGTCACCCTAAGGTTCTCAGTGGTCAATTAGCCAAGCTTGTTTCCCTTGAGTCTTTTATCACACGCGATAATCCATTCACACATCAACAACCATTATCCATCTCAGCACCTGCATCTCCAACTGGTCTCCGTCCGTCTTCTCAGCCAAATTTCAATGCGCAAGCCCATGTTGGTATGTTCCAAGAATCTCAATGGGGTATTGGTGTTCATCCAAGTGCGCGTGGACCTGGCCACAGAAGACAGAGGAGTAGATCCGTTCCAATGGCCGTCGATTTCTCCATGTTCAACAACCCAATGCCATCATTCCTCATTCAACACCCTGGTGAAAACCAACATCAACACCAACATGGAAACCCCAATATCTTTGCTCCTATTCCTCAACAACCAAACAACCTCGGACCTCTTGGACCTAATCTACGGATTGATACCTCATCGGGTTATGGAATGGATTTCAGACAGTATCCCATGTCAGCAGCAACAACAACTTCCCCATCGGATTATGCCAGCCCTGGCTTCTTCCCTCACCAAAATGACAATGGACCTATGACAGGACCAATGCCAACATCATCTTCAATGCCAGCTTCGAACTTCACGCCATACTCGATGCCTTACCTGTCGCCTGATCCTTCTTCGCTTGTTCCTCCATCCGTTTCTCCTTTGTCTTTTATGAGTCACGGAGACCCAGCAATTGTTGATCAATCTCCACCAATGTCAATGATGCACCGAAGTGCTTCTGCCGATGTTTACAGTATGCATAATGATTCGGCCATCTCCGATGATGGTACCGGACTCAATGAGATGTATCAGAAGCACACCCTTAATATTCCTATGCATCCTCATTCTCCAGCTTTTGGTGAACAATCTGCGGCGGATATGGACATGAGTAATCTTGTTCAATTCCCTGTTGATCATGATGGTCTTTCGCCTGAGCATATGCCTCAGTAGATTAGATCAACTTTTTGAACTTTGGAAGTGGTCGAGAGCCTGAAAGGCTACTCTGGGCCTTGGTTGGAAATGAGTTTGAAATTACAGATGGTTGAGATGATCAATGTCTGCATTTCAGAAAGTGTTTTCGCTTAGAGATTGTTTGGGGCGATTTTCGGGGGTGGCGTTGGGTTGATTTTCATTTTGCACGGAAAGGGGGAGGTGTCAACGGCCGTCTCAATTTTTGGGTATTTCATGTCGATTTTTCTCTCGACTTTGCACTTGCTATTTTGGGCATTGTAGCATAGTCTTGATTTCATATTCCCAAATTTCCTTCTGTCTTTTTACGCCACGACTTGCATGACGACTTTACCCAATTCTATCATGCCTGTCTGGTACAGCGATCGTTTTCTCATTGATATCTTTGCTCTTGCGCATTCTCTCTTGAACTTGATGTCTGTTAATCAGCTTCATCTTTACTGTTTTTACTTAACTCTCTTATGGAGATTTTGTGTGGTAGTTGGATTGAAGATATAAATGGACGGGTGGAAAGCTTTAGGGGGAAAGCGTGCGATATTTGAATCTGGAAACAACAACATGGTGTGGGGGTTTACAAATTTTGCTTTTGGTGCTTTTTTATTTTGCTGGCTGGCGCACATGTGCGTAAAGCAATGGATTGATGAATCATGGTGGGCTTAATAGTGGAAAAATCTATTTTGTAAAATCGTTTTCTTCGTTTTTTTAATCTTGTTCTTTTTTGAGCTTGAGTAGTAAAGTTAAAAAAATGTGCATATAATTAATATTTATGATGGGTGTGTTTATGTGTGAGTTTGTGTGAGTTTTGGTGAGAGTTTTTTCCCTGCATGCTTTGTGATGGATGTGTGAGATTTGTGTGATGTGATATGTCTGAGAGTGTATTTTGTTAGCTTGGATATTAGGTTTTGATCTTTACATCGACTATTGACTGTTCTAGACCATGTATTACCTAGTTGGAGATTTTGGAGGTAGTGTTTGTTCAGCTTGGGGGTTTGGTAACGTGTGGTGTTTGGATGTTGGGGGTGGGATGTATGAGGGAGGACCTGGGTATGTATGCTGGATCTGGATCTGGGGGATTTGGGGGATTTTGAGAAAATTGGGAATATGGGGGAGTGAGTAGTTTGTGAGTGGATGGGTGGATGAGTAGATGTAGATGGGTGGATGTAGATGTAGATGTAGATGTAGATTGATAGATAGGTGTTAAGAGTATGATTATAGATGGGTTTTGGGTTAGATGGATGGGATGGATGATATGGGTATATTTGAAATTTTTTTTTTTTTTTAAATTTCTTTATAAAATCTATTCTTTTCTTATAGAATCTAAAAAGTATAAGAATAAAATAAATATTATTTTTAAAGTGTAAAAGTATCTAGGTAGTTAAACAAATTTTAAAAAGTAGAAGAATAATTTATTGTATTGAATAAAGATGATTGGAATATAAGTTTAAAGATTTGAAAGATTAGATTATAAATCTAAAATTCAAAAATTATTTTAATTAAAAAATAATATAAAAAATTATAGATTTTTTTATTACTTATTAATACTAAATAATTCTATTTATATTTATAGTATAGTTTTATAAAAACTAAATAATATTAAGAATAGATTATATCAAAAAATTAAAAAAATGAATCTCAGATTTAAAAAACATTTCGAATTGAAAAAATCTATATGAAGCACTATAATTTATATATATATATAAGTAGATATATAGTATAGATAAGTAAATAAACAAATTATTCAGGTCTGTATGTTATATGTATGTATTAAAATGTTAGTAGAGGGTTAGAGCGTTAGAGTGTGAATTATATTAATATAAAATATAGTTTTAAAGAAGGGATAAAGGATCTTTCTTTGAAAATGATGATTTGAAGAGTCCGGCTTGATACGGAATAGATATATTGACAGATGAGATTTACATCCAAGATGACAACAATTTATATTATACGACGTACATGCATATACCTAGTGTGTACTCGTAAAACACCTTTCTTTTAGCTGACTACACAGATGAGTCTCTTCTCTATCATCATAGATTCTGCAGGGGAAGTGGCATGTACATACGTACCGACCAGTAAGATAGCACCAAAAGATCTACGGAGTATGTAACAATCAGCAATGACGAAACGAAACGAAACGAGATGCAACGGGCTCAAGCCTCAAGGGCTAGATTTGGCGGGAGAATTGACCAACTTCAAGGTTTTTTGTGACTGTCCAGTGTCTACCAGGTATCTCTTGACAATTCACATTACCTAAGGCCAATGTATTGGAAATATCAACCAATGTAGGTACTTACCAGTGTATACCGATGCTCACTCGTCCGAACAGTTGTACCTTTACACCATTCTTTCTTCTTCTTTTCTATTAATCAATAATTGTTATTGTTATTTGTATTCTGTGTTTTGTGTTTTGTTTATTATTCAATCTTGAGCTTGGGCTTTCCTCCACAAGGTTTCGCAAAACTACATACATACCTGGGTTAGGTACTTCGCAGATACAGATTGCTTCGCACAAGCTCCACAAAGTTATTCTTGATTGCAGTTGTGGTTACACTTGATTTATACCTTTATTCTTGGTAACTTTAGGGCACTTATTATTGTCTGGTGGCTGGAGAGGCGGTGCATAAATAGATTCGGATTGAAAAGGAAACGCAGGCAGTTCTCGTAACATATTCAAATTGATGAGGAACAACAGATGAATCAGAACCATGACCGGTGATATTGGAGCAAGAAGTATGAGTCCATCGTCTTGCGATGAAATAACCTCATCAGACAATTCGAATGCCCCGCCTGCGATAATGGACACCGCACCTTCAGCGACAAATAAAGAGAATCATCGAGTGCGCTTTTCGGTGGATGTAGAACGAGAACGAGAACGAGAACGAGGAACTGTTGTCGAATCTTCTAGTCAGAGACCTGCGACTCCGAATTTAAGTATCGATACTAGGGTAGCGGGCACTGAAACAGGTGCAGATGGCAGATCAACAACATCAGGACAAGGGAGGAGGATTTTAGGGTTGTCGCCAATTTCGCCGAGGACGAGGGATAGAGGATATTCACTGAGGCGGACTTTATTTGCGCGGGGATTGAACAATTCGGAACCCGAGCCGGAGAATATCGAACTTGCGGAAGCAGAACCTTCACAGAATGGGGGGAAAAAGACACAAAATTCGGTGGCAGTATGTCCGGTACATGATGAGATTGAAGAGACACCAAGCGAGAGTACCCAGCCTACGAGCTCGAGTAGAACCTCCAGATATAAGGACAAGAAGGCTTTTGGGACGAGTGATTTACCAAATTATGATCGCTTTGTGCGCAAGGTCAAGGGAGACGATTCGATTATCCGGAAAGCGAAGAAGAAATCGCAATGGTTTTGGAGAGAGAAGATATTGAAAGATATTCTTAGACAAAGGGATATACCCCCTTCGAAAGATGGACGACATATTGATTTGGATGCTACTCGTCCGCGAGGGACCCCGCTAATTGATGAGAGGACTGGAGTTGCATATATCGGTAATACTATTCGCTCTAGTCGATACACAATATGGAATTTTGTACCCCGACAGCTTTTCTTCCAGTTTTCAAAGCTGGCAAATGCATACTTTTTACTTGTTTCTATTCTTCAAATGGTTCCTGGACTTTCACCTACGGGAAGCTATACCACCATTGCTCCACTTTTAGTTTTCGTGATGATCAGTATGGCCAAGGAGGGATATGATGACGTTCGTCGGTACAAGTTGGATAAAGTTGAGAATAACAATCAAACATTGGTTTTAAACGCACATACACCTCTAGATATCAATGAGAAATCTCATATCGGATCTAAAGGTCCGCGATCAAAGAGGGTCAAGAAGGGCTTGGGTATTGATTCTCCCGAAACGGTGCACGAGATCGACATCGAAGCGACTGCTTCTGGACCAAGACATTGGGCAACGATGAAGTGGAAGTACCTCAAAGTCGGGGACATTATAAAACTTGAGCGGGACGAAGCGGTACCTGCAGATATTCTCCTTTTACATGCAGATGGACCTAATAATATCGCTTTTATCGAAACCATGGCATTGGATGGTGAGACAAATTTAAAGACGAAATCACCTCCGGTTCCTTTGGTGAAGAAATGCTCAACTGTGGAGAAGTTGGTTGATTGTCGAGCTCACGTTGTGATTGAGGATCCTAATCTGGATTTGTATAATTTTGATGGAAGAGTTACTATTGATGGCGAGACCTTACCACTTACAACTAATGAGATTGTCTTCCGAGGAAGCATTTTAAGGAATACACCTAATGCCATTGGTATGATCCTTAACACGGGCGAAGAGTGCAAAATTAGAATGAACGCCAATAAAAATCCTCGAACGAAAGCACCCGAGATGCAAAAGATTGCAAACAATATTGTCATTATTCTCGTCATATTTGTCATTATCCTTGCTTTGTTTTGTACCATTGCATACCAAGTATGGTCCCAGAATGTCGAGAATAATTCTTGGTATTTGACAGGAGCGCATTTCAAATTCAGCTACTCGATTATTGCATTTATTATCCTGTTCAATACATTGATTCCACTCTCGCTATATGTTAGTTTGGAGATCATCAAGGTTGGACAATTACTTCTCATGCATGATGTTGAGATGTATGATCCCGTATCGAATACTCCAATGGTTTCAAATACGTCTACGATTCTCGAAAATCTGGGTCAGATTAGTTATGTGTTTTCCGATAAGACGGGTACATTGACCGATAATGTTATGCGTTTTCGAAAGCTCAGTGTTGCTGGATATGCTTGGCTTCATGATTTTGATTTAGTTCGAGAAGCGGCCGAACTGGAGTTGGATGCGAATAAGGGAGATAAAGTGAAGTCAAAAAGTAAAGGCAAAGGAGTCTCTAAACACTTTTCGAAGAAGCGAACACGTCAGTCTCATGTAGGGGATGATAGATTGAACAGCTCAACCACCGATATTCCTAGAAGATCAGGATCTGTCTGGAGATCATCGGCACAACCGAATCGCATTCAACCTGAATTTCGAACCGAGGAAATGATTCGATATATGCAAAGTAAACCTCATAGTATATTTACTAAGAAGGCTAAATTCTTCCTCTTGTCCATTGCACTTTGTCATACATGTCTTCCGGAAGTTCGAGAAAATGGGCATATTGAATTTCAAGCTGCATCTCCTGATGAATTGGCTTTGGTACAAGCAGCTCAAGAACTTGGATATTTGGTCATAGATAGACCTGCTCGTTCTATCACTCTGACTATTCCGAGTGAATCCGAGGATATTACGGAAACTTATGAAGTTCTTGATGTGATTGAGTTTTCGAGTAAGCGAAAGCGAATGTCAATTATTGTCCGTTTTCCTAATGGAAAGATTTGTATCTTTTGTAAAGGTGCAGATTCTTCAATCCTTCCACGTTTGAAGCTCGCGCCATTGGCTATGCAGAAAGCTTCAGAAGTCCAGAGAAGATCAAGTGTAAGAAAGAGTTTAGAAGCCGAGGAAGCACTACGAAGAATGAGTGAAAGTAGTCCTAGGACGAGTTATAGTCGACCTAGTATGAATCTTCCACGATCAAGTCTGAGTCGAAGTCGGAAAAGTATTGGGGGTGGAAGACCAAGTATGGCCAGTACTCGATTACAACCCATACGAGATGAGCTTGATTCCTGGTTGAGGGAAAGAGAAAGTGATGTTGAATTGCCGGATTTAGATGGATCGGCTAATGCTTATAGAACTCCGAGAACTTCAATGGCTATGGGTCGATCTTCTTTCGCTTCATCGGATGTTAGAACTTCTATGCAAACTGAACATTTTGATGAGTTTGTTGATGAAGCATTGGTTTTGGATGATGCTGCTGTTTTTGAACGTTGTTTTCAACATATTGATGATTTCGCTGGCGAGGGACTTCGAACTTTGTTATTTGGTTATAGATTCTTGGAAGAACAAGAATATACTGGGTGGAAGAAGATATACTTGGATGCGACAACGAGTCTAGTAGATCGTCAAAACATGATTGAGAATGCAGGAGAGATGATAGAACAAGATTTTGATCTTGCGGGAGCCACGGCCATTGAAGATAAACTTCAAAAAGGTGTTCCGGAAACGGTGGATAAATTGAGGAGAGCGAATATCAAAATTTGGATGCTCACGGGTGATAAGCGAGAGACGGCTATTAATATCGCGCACTCGGCAAGGATTGCTAAACATTATTCGGAAGTCGTTATTCTGGATCGCACTACTGGTGAAGTTGAGCAACGGATGGCTACTACGTTGATTGATATCAATAATGGAAATGTCGCTCACTCGGTTATCGTCGTGGACGGACAAACTCTTTCGGATATCGATGCAAACCAAACACTTTCCTTACTATTCTTCGATCTCGTCGTCCAAGCCGATTCAGTCATTTGTTGTCGAGCAAGCCCTAGTCAAAAAGCATCGCTGGTAAAGAAAATCCGAACCAAAGTCAATAAATCCATCACCCTAGCCATTGGTGACGGTGCAAACGATATCGCCATGATTCAAGAAGCCCACGTGGGAATTGGCATCAGTGGCAAGGAAGGTCTCCAAGCAGCTCGTATATCCGATTACTCTATTGCCCAATTCCGATTTCTCCAACGTCTTTTGTTCGTGCATGGGCATTGGAATTATGTGCGCACGGGAAAATACATCCTGGCCACTTTTTGGAAAGAATTCCTGTTCTACATGATTCAAGCTATCTATCAAAAGTGGAATGGATACTCCGGAACTTCATTCTTCGAATCTGCTTCTCTGACTGTTTTCAATACGCTCTTCACATCTCTATGTGTCATCTTCCTCGGTGTATTCGATCAAGATCTTTCGGCCACAACGCTTCTTGCCGTTCCGGAACTCTATACGTATGGACAACGTAATGAAGCGTTTAATTTGAAGAAGTATTTTGGTTGGACTTTCATGGCGGCGAGCGAAATGATCATCACCTTCTTTTTGGCGTATGGACTTTTTGGAGAATCAAGGTTCACGGATGATAATACTTTGTATTCGTTGGGAAATTTGTGTTTTACGGCGGCGGTGATTATTATCGTTACGAAACTTCTGTGAGTACTTGGATGTCTTTTTTCTTCCTTTACTTTTCCATCTTCATTTCCATTTCCAATTTCGTTTTCATTCTCAATTCATCTCCATACCCCTTCTCACCGACCCGCAACCCCCTACTAACATCCCTCCCCCATAGTATCCTAGAAATGCACAGCAAAACCTACATCACAGCCATCGGTCTTATTCTCAGCATAGGTGGCTGGTTTCTTTGGAACCTTCTCCTTTCCGCCCTCTATTCCCCCAAATCACTCACCTACAATGTCCGCGATGGGTTCATTCATCATTTCGGTCGCAATCCACTGTGGTGGTGTACTTTGATTGTCATCTTGGCGGCAGTGACAGTGTTGGAGGTTGGCGTGAGTAGCGTGAGAAGGACTTTTTGGGGGAATGATATTGAAGCGTGGCAGGAGTTGGAGAAGGATGCGGGAGTGTGGAAAAGGTTGGAAGCGGCGGTTAGGGGAGAGGATGGAGGTGTGGATGTTGAGATGAGTGGGGGTGGGAAGAAGAGTCAAGAGGAGCTGGAGGAGGGGGAAAGAGAAATTGCGGAATTGCTCGAGAGGCCTAGGATTATGCATTCTGAAGGGCGAGCGGGAGAGCAGGAGAAAGAAAGAGAGAGACCGATGAGTAGTGGTACAGGGGTAGCGAGAACATCTACGCATTTGAGAATGAGGAAGGGGAGTTTAGCTGATGCCGGTGTTGGTTTTGGTGCAGGTGCGGGTGCGGGTGTAGAGGATTACGATGATGAGATCGGTCATGGACATGGACACGGACATGTCATGACGAGTCCTATAAGTCCAACTGATATGACGGGAGGAAAGGGTATTAAAGGAGCTAAAAGGAGAGTTTTCAGTTTTACTTATCCGGGCATGAAGGGATGAAAGTACGAAAGTATGAAAGGATAAACGAGAAATGTACATACGATTACGAAAAAAGAGCCGAGATGAAATGAGATGAGATGAGATGAGATGAATGTCCGATATGGGAATTTTTGGTTTGTGGTTTGTGGTTTTTGGTTTTAGGTTTTAGGACGGGCGGGCGGGTGGATTTTTGATGTTTAACTCTCCGGTTCTGGTTCTGATTCTGGTTAGGCATTAAGCATTTGTATTTGCAGTAGCAGTAGCAGTAGCAGTAGCAGTAGCACTAGCACTAGCACTAGCAATAGGCTTCGGTTTCGATTTGTATCTGTACTTGTATTGGATATTAATTGAGAGATTATTTTTCCGGTAGCTACTTGCTACTTGCTACTAATGCTGAGTGAAGTTTTGGGTTTAGAATGAGAAGAAGAAGAGAGAAAGAGAAAGAAGGAATGAAAAATGATGGATGAGAGAGCAGGAGAGAAACAAGGGGGAACTTCCCAAAGCTAATACATAATTGATTCTCAAGATAATACGATATCAATATCAATAGATAGATACTGATGAGTTTATCGTATATGATTCACATGAGTGAGTGCTAATAATATCTTGTTATAAGTAGTGATAAAAATAATATCTCAGCCAACATAGCTCTAGCTTATTTCCTTTCATCTTCAACGCCCAGCAATATAGCAATAGGTAGTTCCATTTATATACTTCTCCCAAATCCCAAATATACCCAGCTATTCATCCTCTCAGATAATCCATCAAAATATCCTCAATTCATCTGTCCATCCTTAATGACAATGCAACTCTTCCATCATTCAACAAAATCAACATATCCTCTAAACATATCAATGAAATCTGGATCCATTTCACCTACCCAAGCAGGTTCTTGACGGACGTCGGCCTTCACATTTCCACTCTGCTCATTATCCCCGCTATTCCCTGTATCTGATCCCATGATTCCAGAGCCCATCACATTGATCCATGCTGTAGCACTACTTCCACTAGTAGATTTTATAGCGTCCTCTGAATCCTTTCCCTTGCTTTCCATACCTCCATGATCCTCATCCTCATCTTCTACATCGATTCTTCTTCTTTTCATCTGAGGTAATACCGGACCATCATAATCCTCGTTCTCATTTTCACCCCACTGCTCATATCCCATCATATTACCATTTTGGAAATCCTTCATCCAAGGGCTTGACTGCTGACGCTTTGTAGATGACATTTCAATATCCATACTATCCATCTCATCATGCTCTCCCTCTTGGTATTTTCTTTGCATCTGACTCATCAATGGACTAGAAAATTGTTGCTCATTGACTTCCTCAGAATTAAATGCCGCAAAATCAAACACATTATTAGCGAAGCTTGTATTGAGTTTGGGAGTAGCCGGAGCAGTTGGGGCATTTGAGGTAGCCAGGGCAGTTTGAAGGTTGATAGAATCATCCAAACCTATCATCGCAGCTTCGAGACTACCAGATGAATCTTCAAATGGGTCATCTGAAAGAGTTTGTTGCTCATTTCTATGTTGCCTAGAGATATTCATACTCATAGCTGGAGGTGGTAACTGAGTTGCAGAGACAGAGACACCTTTAGACGCTTGCTTTTCACTGCTTAAAAGAGCAGAAGGGGAAGGAAATTCATACTCATCGGAATCAAAATGTTCCGATTCATTTTTTTGCTCGTCCTTAGAGCCATCCGCATCCATGAATAAAAGATTTGGCATTCGTCCACTTGTATAAGAGAATTTGGGTTGGCCTTTTGGAAGTCGAACAGATGTATCTTTTTGAATACTTGTATGCAAATTATGTAATTTCCGATAATCTCTAGGTGCAACATCGGGATATGTTACTGGAGGCAAAATTGTCGAAAGATCGATTACTTCAACACTGTCTTGATCCGAACTTGGACCCAAAGAATGCATAATCTTAGGTCTCTTGGTCAACTTCGAGAGCTGTTTGCTACCGGAAGGTTGAGTATTGCTCATATTGGACTTGGTCACAGTTCCCTTAATCCTATCATCAATCTTCGAAGCTTGGGATTCCGTAATTCCAGTAGAAGACTTCTTTCTCGTGATCTTTCTAGGTTTATCCAAGCCTTCCCTACAACACCTGTGCTTACAGATTTGACCATTTTTCAAAGGATTTCCATCACGGCAATGATGATTACAAGCCCATTTCCCATTTTCCATCTTCACAGGCTCTAGTTCGATGATGTCTTCTTTGACTTTCTTATTCTCTTTGGAGTCGCCTAGACCAACTGTATCAATATCGACAAAAGCATCCGAGCCATAATCACTAGAAGCTCGACGTCCACCTTCCATTTGCTTAGCTACTGCGAGCATAGAATCGTCATCAATACCATCATCGAATTCATCAGAAGTTCCCATATCTTCAGGCTTAGACTTCTTTATGCTCGGTCGCTCAAGCATAACTTTCGGAGCAGGAAACTCGGATGCGGGAACATGGTGCTGTAGAACGCAAGATTTCAGAGTACCTACAATCTCATCGCATGAAAGCCAACATTTGATCTCATCATCCGGTGATGAAATTTCAACAGGAAAACTCTTGTCTAGAACCCACCATTCGACATCTTTTTGATGTTCATACGGCAGAAATATACCAAACTACCACTGGATGTCTCTGCTATGAAGGTAATTGAAGGTATCCTACCAGACCAGTTCGGTACGTTTGGATTCGCATACCCAAGTACAGCATTGACTTTAACTTTTGGTTGCTTTCCTGCTTGTGAAAAAGCTCTTCCAACAATTTGAGCAGTGACAGTCAATTGAGGAAATCCAATCAAATTATCCTTCATCTTCTTCCCAAATGGAGGATTTTTCCCCATAACTCTCTCAATTCCTGCCGTATCAAGCCCAGCAAGCTTCTCAACCGTATTGACATTATTCCCAGCCAATTTCCGTAGAGATGCTGGTCCTATTTGGGGAACTTGTCTCAACTGTAAAGATGAGTTCTCCCAGTAACCCGCTGCAACACTCCTAGAAAGGTCAAGAGCACAACGTACAGAGATTGAATCACAATCCACAGCTTTACAATCAACAACACATCGAATCAAGCGTTGAAATCGTTCAAGTATGATATTAGTCTCCATCGCGAATTGTCGGCTAATGACTCGAAAGTCGTTGTTCGTTAATGGTTCAATACCACCTAGTTGTACTTGAATCATGAGAAAGATTTTATGACCTGTTGTCGATATGTTCTCCTTGATTGGAAACTTCATCATGGGAGATTTGTTAAATTCTCGAAGACTTGATCGTTCATTCGGCTTCATTCGAAGGTCTTTGAATTCTGCTGCTTGGCATATGGTACTCAAGATTACTTCCGTCTTCGAATGACGAGGAATACTCAATAATAGTTTCATCGTCTCAAACTGGACCATGTATCGACTCATAGCAGCACCGTAATCTGTGCACGAGAAATTTTCCTCCTTTGTGACGAGCTCATATTCTTGAAGGAGTTTAATATCTCTCTCACAAACCAATTCGAGCTGCTCATCCGCGTCTCTACTAGGAACAATCCCAGAAAACATGTAATATTTAGGATTCTGTCTCATCCTGACACCCAAAAAACGTCCCCCCCAACCAAACTTTGGCTTCGTAAGCAGTCTTGATGGTGCGAAGTCCGATTTCTGAGTTGAGATGTTCAATAAGATTCAAGTGTAGCGTACTCTCCAAGATATCCTGACCCGAAATCATCTTTTTGTATCGATCGGCCTTCTCCATCCGAGTCATAATGATTGCAATAGCACTATCATCAAATTGAGGTCTTCCAGCACGACCCAACATTTGCATAACCTCGAGGTCGGAATATTCAACAAGCCCACTATCTTGAAAGCAAACTGTCCCCTTAAGAACCACAAGATGACAAGGTAAATTGACTCCAACAGCTAATGTCGAAGTACAACATATGACACTAATATCTCCTTTCAGATATGCTGTTTCAATAGCACATCTATCCTGCGCATCAAGACCTGCATGATGATAAGCAACACCACATCCAACCAACTCTTGTAGATCTTTACTTCCTACCACTGTTCGAATAGTTGGTGCTGGCCAAGCACGGTCAACAACTCTTTGTCGAGTCCAATGTTCTGCTAGAATAGCTGCTGTACCCTCGCATGATTTTCTTGTGAAACAAAAAACCATAATAGGCTTCTTGCAAGAGTACTTTTGAATCAAAGCTGGCAACTTGCCATCAAGGATCTTCTCGAAAGCAAAATCATTTGCACGACTTTCGTATCCATGAACATGTTTCCGTAACTTGACAGGTCGAAATTCTTCACCGAATGTTTCTCGATGAGCAGGTAATTGTCGACTACTTGAATCCCTTCCAAGCCAAGTGGCAATATCATGTCTGGAGTATAAATGCATTAGTGTCCGAAAAGTGCTGCGCCAATAGATATCTACTTACGCATTAGGAACAGTAGCACTCAAAGCAACAAAACGAACACTAGCTCCAATAGAATGCATCCGAGAAACTACAGCCTCAAGAGTAGCCCCTCTAGCATCCTTAAGGATATGAACCTCATCAATCAAGAAAAGTTTCACCAACTGCAAAAGCTTTTGATAATCTGTCCATTTTCGTGTAATACTATCCCATTTCTCAGGTGTAGTAATAATGATCGATGCGTTCCCTACTCGACTCATTTCGGCATTGCTAGTATCACCAGTAAGCTCCGCAACAGGTAGATTCAAATGACTAAACTTCTTGGTCCAATCCCTCATACGTTCCGAACAGAGAGATTTGATTGGTGCTTGATAGACGATCTTGAACTGTCCAGAGCCATAGCTTTCAACTAGCTTACAAATAGCAAGTTCCAGAAGAGCCGTCTTACCACTTCCAGTAGGAGCAGAGACAACAATATTATTATTGGTCTTATAGATTGGTGCAAAACATTTGGATTGTACAGCATTGAAGAGTTCGTATGGGAAAACTTGACGAAATCGATCCGGAAGTTCATGAGGGGAGACGAGCTGAATTCCGTGTGCCATTAGTGGTCCATTTCCAAAGGGAATAATCTGATGGTCATTTTTAAATTGTCCAGCATTACCAGAGTACGTCTGGGCGGGCGAGAAACCCGAATGCTCTACACCATGACCCATCTCCCGCGCTTGAGAGACTCTCGATGATAGAGCATATCTATCACTAGGTGAAACCTGATTCTGAGGTTTATGTGGAGTTGTATACTGGTGTTCGAGCCCCTGCCCTGTTTCTTTTGTATTTTGCGGAGGTAAACGGCGATTCGAATTTCGACATGAACTGACTCTAGCACTAGGACTCGAGACTGAAAGTTCAGAAGGAGAAGAGTTTATGGTTGTATCTGTGCGTTCACGAGGTCTGTAGGCGAAGGCACCTAAAATAATTAGCCAACATGTTCACATGGATTCAAGAAAAAAAGAAGAAAAAAATGCCATACTCAAGTCCATTCTAGTAGACGGTGGTGTAAAAACCTGTTGGTTCTGCTGCTGAAACTGCTGTGGTCTCTCCAACTGAGTCTGAAAAATGTTCTGTTTCGAAGGACTAAGTCCAATAGGTCGAGGCATCACCATTGACGTCTGCGAGATCATATTATTGGCAAGCTGAGTAAGAGGACTCTGCCCTTCACCAACACCGGAATTCGAAAGATGTGCTGGTCTATTTGTCGACTTAGTTTTCAACTCGATATCCTGCAAGATCTGCTGTTTGAAGTGATTGTCTGTACTGGCCAGACCCCTCGGTTCCTTTCGTTCAACGGGAGCCTTGGATTCTGCTTGACCACCAACATGAGAAGGAAATCTAGGAAGGGATAAGCGACCTTGCCCATTACCAATACCAGTCGTAGAATATGCACCGAGTCTTTGCATAGATTGAGAGAACTCAAATGAAGGACGACTCAAGTACCCCTGAAGTGGATCATGTCCCGGAATATCATACGAAGCTCGCGCATCTGTATTTTGACCAAGAGGCGACATCCTTTGCCCTGGCTGCCTTGGCCCCGGAGCAAAAGTAAAACCCGCAGAAGTTGGTTCCTCTCTTGGTGCCATCAAATATCCAGTCGATTGGTTATGTTCAATGCTGTTATAGTGACCTCGCACATTCAAATCCTGGCCGTATGAACCGGTAATTTGTTGAGTATGTTGCATTGGAGATGGTCCAAAGGCAAATCCTGATTCTGGGGGTAACTGCTGAGAGTCTTTACCCGCGAAGAAGCTTGTAGAAAACCCTGGATCTTTTCCATCTTCATGACGAGGTACACTACCAGATGTATTGCCAATTGCACTATTCATAATTTTCTGAAGATGAGGATCCCAACCTCTATCCATGATGACTTTCACTCGATGTGGAGCAAGACTTTGCTTGATTGTTCGTAGGTAATCTGAAACCTTTTCAGGATTGATGATAAATAAAAAGAGATTGAAACGGAATAGGAAGTATCAGATAACTATCTATTACACTAAGAAAAATATCATGAACACATGAAGAATAATGAAATGAAGTGTGTTTGTGTGCGTGTGTGCGTTAAAGGCAACCATTGATGTTGGTATACCCCTCAACTGCTTAGCGTGCTTTCCATTTTTGACCTCACTTCGCTTTACTCTTCACCTACCAACCACATCGATATCCTTTACTTAAAAAATCGAGCAAAACGTATCGTGCAATGAATGAAATCTTAGGTTTGTATGGTCAAAGGTCTTAAACCGTGTCAACATCAAGAAGATCTCCTTCTCCTATCTATCACAGATCAAACATCACTGTCCTTCATCCATTTTCCTTCCTTTTCATTGCCCTTTTCATACAGGGAAATCATTCCAGCTGACTTTCCCCAATCATATGTGTAGTATTTCGCTATTTCATAAGTCTCATATGCGTGTGCACGCAAAATATCTTTTTTGCCCACCCAGGTATCATTTTCTTCGTCTCTACATTTCGTCATCTCGCTTCACCCCCTTCTTTACCTCTTCGCCCAATTTCAAGCGAATTTTCAACAGTATGAAACCGTTATAGATGCTTAAGATATTTGGGATGATAAATCGCTCGCTAAAGTGAAGTATGCATTAAAGAATCCCGCTCCAACCCGCCCACTATCAACTTCAACTTCAACCCCAACCTATCCACCCAGAAATCAATCGTCCCTCTTAACCTTTCCTCTCGAACTTCCCACCCTCGAATGATGTCTCATGGGCGAGCTAGGCCTACTAGTTGATAACGATGCTCCCGCTCCTGGGCCTTTCAGCCCATTCAAGGGATCCAGCGTCAAACTTGACCTATCCTCTTCAAACTTTGGCGTAAATCCATTATCAATCGTCGTCTTCTCATAACTCGCGATATTGATAGGTGGAGGTCTGTTACGTTTCCTCTCCGGACCGCTGTAGAGCCATGTTGCAAAAAGGACTATCGATGTACCGACAAGGAACTATGAATATGTTAGTAAAAATTCTCAGAAGTAATTCTCTCCAAAGCCTTACATTGAGTGTAACCTTAAAGTCAAAAAACCAAACGCTGAAAATAAAGCTAATAACAATGCTAATACTTGATGCAAAATTCTTCGCGATATTATCAGTAAAATTTATGCAAAGTGCAACGAGAATCCCTCCCAATGCTTGCATAACAATAGCTATCCAAACGATCGCATTATATCCATCAAAGAACCCATTCTTTGCAATTTCCTCTCCATCTTTGAATAGCACTCCAAAGATTAAAGCTGGAAAGAGAGAATAGAAAGAAAGCTGAACATTCCTCGTCCAAATCGTAACATGAGTCGTAGATTCCTTTAGAACCTTCTCAAAATACACCCCTGTGAGACCCGATATGACCGCCGCGCCCAACACAGCCATAAGACCAATTGAATAATTCATAACTGGTTTGACAAGTCCTTGATCTTCTTGTATTCCCTCATATGTAGCAGATCGTTTCGTGAGACCTTCGGAAACCCCCTCCATACCACGTTTCGTCAATTCGGCTGCTACTTCCACTGCGCCATTGCCCATTTGACCCAACTCATGAAAAGAGCGTGGAAAGTAAAACCGCGATTGTGAATCATTCATCGTCGAATACGCAGACGGGGTACCGCCGGGTAATTGCACAATTGTAACTCCAATTGTGAGCAAAACTAGAGCTATCCATCGTTTAGAAGAAAGTGCCCTTCTAAGCAAGACCACACTGAAAACCGCCGTTGTGAGGATCTACCGAGCCAAATTAGTAAACCATCATCCCGCACATGCAATAGACAGAACCAACCTTCAATTGATATAGAACCTGAAACTGTACAGCTTCCAAATTGCTCACAGCAATATATTGTAAGGAATTCTGCAGAGTGTACAGAGTCGCTGGGATAGCCAATTTCCAACCATCTCCAGAGAACACAGACATGTACAATTGTTCAAAAAGAACTGTGGCTGGTGTAGAGGGGGGTAACGTTCGTGAAATATCGTACATGGCAATCGTCAAGGAAACAGCCAACTTCATGATCTCATTGAGGAAAACCGCGGTCGATGTGAAATATCTATGCCCACCCCCTAATGGCATTATCCTACTATAATGCATTATCTATAACCACATTAGCTAACCTTCCCCCAATATATCGTATCGAAGAAAAGGTAGAAGCATTTCGATGATGTCAACGTACAAGTATGAGGGCCGAATTTTGGAAAGTAAGCTGTGAAAGCATTAGCATAAGTGCATTCCCTAAATTCATCAAAGTAGATCCTCACAGAAATAAGAGAAACATGCTTCATCGACGCCCCCATCCAACTCTGCGACGCGTCTTCTATCGCCATCGCGCTCAAGATGATACTGCTCTTTCTCTCTGTGCCAAAACCGCGGGGGTGGATCTCCTCTCTCTATGCTCAATAAACTTATCTCTCCGATCTCAGAATAGGAATAATATCGTTAGAAAGTAAAATAAATTGATCATGAATAAGCAAAAGCCTTTAAGTGCAAGGCAAACAGTGAGGTCAATGATGTAGGTAAAGGAAGGGAAGTAATTTTGGACTTGTTCGAAAAGTGACGATCTAATGTTCTGGCTAGGTATTGCTTGACCCTGTTCATTGGTTTGCCCTGCCGTGCGTGCTTTCCTTTCCAGATGTTCAAAATTCAAGATTCTTGGTTGTACCAATCAACCAATCATCGTCAAGATGCAGCAAGCTCTCCTGTAAATCCACCACCAAATTGACAAGCTGATCAAACTTGTACAATGTGGAGATTTACATGCCCATGTCCTCTCCAATTTTATGAGGATCCATATTCATCAAAGTAGAATTCTTATTTCTCTTTCCAGACCTGATCAGCTATCATCAAACAATTGACGATATTTAAATTTTACATTGGAAAACTATTGAAGCATCAAATTAATCAAATAATGAAGTCCATCTCATCTCTCCTCATCCCATCGTTAAACAATCACAAACAACCACCCACTGTCAAGCCCGCCCAAAAGAATTCTTTCCAAAAAAAAAGTTTTAAAAAAGTTTAAACCACATCTCCAAATTCAATGACAACATATGTCTCACCATCACCCACCCACCTGGACATCCCCAGATCTCCAGATCAATCCAGAAATCCCACAAACAGAATCACCTCACCACGCACAAACAGCACCTACTAGGTAATTAGCTACCTAGTAGTTTTCATACCTAAAACCCAATCCAACACATTGCATTTACCATCTCACCATCCACCAAACCCAACTTCAAAATGTAGATTCGAATACAATACTGTACTAAAGTCTAAATCGATAGCTAACTAATACCACATATCTAACAGCATTACATTATATTTACATACCGCCCGCCATTTCCACCCCGTGCAGACCACCACGCACACTTCCCATCCCCAATAATCTTGCCCCTTCCTCCCTCTCTTCCTCTCTCCCTCTCTCCCTCTCTCCCTCCATCCCTCCAGTCCTCCATCCCGTCCTCATCCATCATCCACCTCAAAGCCAACCAACCTCTCTCGCCTCCCATCCCCCATCCCCCATCCCCCATCCCCGCTTTCCAGCCCAAACCCAAACCCACCATCCCTCCCTCCTCTCACCTCTGAGTCCTGACTCGCAACTCCAATCAATCAACCACCACACACCCCCCAAAACAAGCCAGCCTCTTGACCACCAACCCATCACAAACTAGCCTCACCCATCACAAACTAACCCATCACACTAACCAAGCACCATCACCACTACTCCCAAAACCCCCACCCACCATGCGTCCAGACTTTTCTACGCACATATTCCGTCCATACTACCAGGTAAATGCTACCTACCTAGGTAAATACTACTGTAAAGGTAATAAACACTATACCATACCAACCTCGGAAGGATCCCGCAGCCGAGCTACTCCTTATCACGGAATACCTAGATTCCTACCGAGGAGCGAGCCTACCTCCCCCACATGTACATACATACTATCCATACAGTATTTTTCAGTATTTTCAAGATTTATTAACATTTAACATTCGTCATTCATATTAATACCTATTGCCTTGCTAATTAAACCTACCTACTGTAGTAGTTCGTTCAACACACACATACAAAAAAATCCATTCAATCAGGAATATTAAATAAACTTCGATTCGATCGACTCCTTTCGATTTTCAACTCTCTATATCATCTATCCATGTATCTATCCATCCATCCATCCATCCATCCATCCATCAATCACCACCTACCTAGTATACACCTGCATCCACCCATCCACCATTTATCTATTTGTACAGAAATTGCCCCTCCCCCCCCTTCCCAAGCCTCCATCTCCATCTCCATCTCCATCCACGCCATCTAACTAGGTACGTCCCTATATAGATTCCTTCCCTCTTCTCCCCTCCCATAGAATGTGTAAAGATAAAAGTAATCAAGAGGGGTGGGTATGAGCAAATATAACCAAAACCCATCAATCAATGTAAGATCATGAAAGTAGGCAACTAAGACAGACAAGACACCCTCTCCACATCCACATCCACATCCACATCTTCCGATCCAAAATACAAAATACACATGTACATACATACATACGTACATACATCCCAATTCCAATTTCCAACATTCCAAATTCCAAATATCAATTCGCACCCAGTGATATCTCATAACAACAATGAATATACATTACCCCTCCACCCGCACCTCAAAATTACAAACCCCAATCCCACTCCTTACCCTATCCCACCCCACCTCATCCCATCCCCATCCTCTTACCCCACAAATCTCACTTCCCCATACTAGGATTTCTCTTCATCTGATCCTCATTTCTACTCCCCTTCTCCACCACCAAAGAAGTAAATCTCGGATCATGTTGTGGTGGCGTACCCGGTCTCTTTAATTGCGGTACATCAA